CAAGGCACACAAAGCGCACCTTGTCTAGGAGGCCTTCGGAGGAGCGTTAACCAACCACAAATTAAACAACACCCACGGAGTCCTATGAAGGTCGGCGTGCATAGGAGCCATCCTGATGGTATTGTTGCTGTTGCTATAAACACCTGGATGATTACGGAACTCTACGCCTTTCAGTATTCCGAAAGGGTTAAAAGATATCACCCCTCTTATCGAGTCCCCCAAGGCCAACTTCGTGTAATGACGCCTGCCTTCCTGAGCTTGAGGTGCCTTTGAACTGCTGGCAGCAGTCTCACCCGCTGCTTCTTCTGATGCTGGGTTTGCTGCCACATCAGATTTTCCTGCGACGCTAGTTATTTTCTTGACGGCAGTTTCCAAGAGGCCAGCCACCGGCCCCATCCGTCTCGCACTCCCTTGCCTTTCCAGTTCATGTTTCTCAGCTGCTTCTCTAGCAGCTGCCTGAGCATCGTGCGGCTCGGCGCTTGTGGTCTCGGCACTGGCCACGGTACTCTCTTGATCACTGCGTACAACGTCATAAACAAGATGGCCGCAGTTGCTGTCGGAGTCGTCATCCTCGTCATCTGCTGCTACTTCTGGAGCTGCTGCCGCGGCATCGCCAGGTGCGTTGTCTTCACAGCCGTCGCTGACGCCTTCCTCTGCTGCTCCGGTTCCTGGAGCTTGAGTGCTTGCTCCGTCTGACTGTGGACGATAGCCACATCAGATGTTCCTGCGACGCTCGTTATTTTCTTGCCGGCAATTTCCAAGAGGCCAGCCACCGGCCCCATCCGTCTCGCACTCCCTTGCCTTTCCAGTTCATGTTTCTCAGCTGCTTCTCTAGCAGCTGCCTGAGCATCGTGCGGCTCGGCGCTTGTGGTCTCGGCACTGGCCGATTTCCTACACCTACTTGCGAGCGGGATGAGATATCACCACCCAAGCCTGAATCTCCAGTCCTGCAACCATGTTCCGACAAGTGCTGTAATTGACGTCGAGCCCAGAGAGCCACAAACAGCACGACGGCGGCGTAAACTAGCAGCACTAGTGCTGTGGAATATTGCCAGTACACCCCTACCACTGGCAAACGATACCCTGGAATCCGCTGAGTATCCTGAGGGAGTAAACCTGAGTCCCAACTATTTGTCGAGCTAGGGGGCCACTCATAATGCAATGCTTCCCCCATGAGTGCCAATTAAGGAGCTCAAAGGAGTCAGAACCCTGCAGTGCGTGGCCCCGTAACAAAGGGAGTGAATTGAGGAGTTGGAAAGGTGACGCACTTGCCCAGACGTTTCAAAGAGGATTTGATGCTATAGAGGTGGGCTATGTTTAAGGTTTCATACAGAGGAAACACATTGCGAGTCCTGACTCCCCAAGCGGCTCTAAACGAACATAAAATCGAAAAACATCTGGGGTAGGAGGGCCGTTCTTGTCTTACTCTAGCGATGCATTGTTGGCCAGATTACAGTGGCAGAAGAAATGTTTCACTGCGTTGCTGCCTAGTTACTTGCTGGGGACGGGAGTCGTGAACGGACAGGTGGTTTCTCCTTGGAGTACTCCCCAGTAGCGTATTATGCCGCTGCTTTTCTGGAAAACTGCGGGGCTAGTTGCACTACGTTACTCAACGAGCTTTCAAGATTGTTCTGTAGTAGTATAAAAGCTTTAATGTCCCATAGTAGCGCCCTGGAGTAACCTGGAACGACCCATCGCTGCAGAGGAGTAGTGGGCGCGCAAACTAGCGAGCGCCTTTGCACAATAGGACCTGTGCTGCGTAACTTGGGATTATGTGAGGTGCCACACCTATATCTCTACTGGAGCTGATTAGAAAAGAAAATGGCTGGAAACCGGCCGTTCTAACAGTTTTTGAGCGGTGGAGACTAGCCAGTGCGTGGCCAACGCTCGTGGTGGCAAACACCAACGCTTGCAGCGTGAAAATGCCTTACTAGAGGGCGCAAAATGGTTTCCCTGATTATCTTGTGTCGGAAACGAAATGTTGGTGAGGAATTGGTGCGTGGAACACTGGCATGACGTGAATCATCCGGTGTGCAGCGTCCCCTCGTGGCAGAAGGATCTCACTCAAGATCGTCGCATCTCTCATCGGGCAAATAGCCCAAAACCGGCTTTAAAGCCTTTCCATAGCGATTTTGCGTGTTTCATCTGTTGACACAGATGCTCAGGGTATCCCAGTAACCCCAAAAGCGTAGTTGTGCTGCCTCCCTGGAGTTGCGGAGCGTGACTCTAGTATTGACCAACATAGTAGAAGCTGAGCACCATAATAGGAGGGCAAGACCGGCTTTCAAAATTCACGCGCTCAAAAGAAGATAGTATTTGCTCCAAGCTCATATTCTGGGAGGACAAGGCTCCGGCAAAACTGAAGTCACAACCCACTTCGACAAAGCCCACATTTGCCGTTTGCAGCGACTCGGATTAGGGTGGGCATACTCAGCGCGGTCGAAACAACCAGTTCTACATATCTGAGCGATCCTAACTACCCAATTTGATATAATCAGTATTATCAAGCGTTTTGGTTGATGGTAAGTTGAGTGGGTGAGAATAGAAGGCAAAAGGAGCAGGTACGGAAGCAAGAACGTGTGCTGGACGTGATGACCAAGCACGAAGCCAGGTAGCCACTGTCCTTTCTCGGCAACGCGCCAGAGAACCAGCCGAGCCAAACTCTCCGCGAAATCGCTCCAACTATCCTTAAATTTGATTTTTGCAAGCTTTTGTCGACGTCTCGAGTCTCTTATGCTCCTTCAAACAGCGGCGTAGCAATGTCTTGCGAACGGTGCAATGCTAGGAGAGAGGCGTCCACAACCATCTCAGCTTGCCCTCCCGATAGCCAGCGAGGCAAGTAGGCCCAATATGCACCCGATCTGAAAGGGCACAGCTCTCCGTACCCGCCCAGGCCCTAACCTATAGTTTAGGATGCGGGGCGTAGACTGAGTATGTGTCGCCAGAAACCGAACCATCTTGGAAAGAGAACGCGCACGCTACGGGGAGCTCTGTAGCAGGTTGTAAGAGAGAAACAGATGCAGGAATGTAATATCCAGGAAAAAGCCCTGAGCGACTGCGTGAGGAGTGCTGACCTGGAGGGGCTTACACACGAGCAAATTGCAAGAATTGCTGGAGAGAAAGCAGCGCTTCAGAGTGTTGCTCTATGAGTGCATTGCAGAGGCAAAAGCTCCTTGAGTTGTATGCCTCCACAATAAGGACGTCTGCAATGCACAAGCAGTCCCGCACCCACAATGAAATTCGCTGCTGCGTAACTATTGCTGCACGGACAAGTACACACGAAGGGCCTGTGGCTCGTGCCATGCTTCAGTGATTTATGAGGCCTATCACTGAATTCAAATCCTCTAAAATGCACTGGCATAGTTCACGGTGTTCGAGGATCTTGAGCTCCGGAGATTCAGGCATCTCAGGAGAAGAGTTCGACAGACAGAAAGTAACAAAACTTCTCGAGCTTTCTGCACTTGTAAACGAAGGAACAAAATTTCTCGAGCTTCCTTTGCTCGTCAAATATAATTATTGACGCAGTGGTTCAGTAAACCTGAACCCCTACATGCGGTTCGCACATAGCAACTCCTGCGTGTCTAATATGGAGATCGCCACCTTCAGCGATGAGCTCTATTTTATATGCCACAAGCCGAGACCTCATTTCCCCGCTTTTTACAGTTGCAACGGAATTAAAGTAAAAGCCCGGCCCTGATGTTTGTGGAGGAGTTCAAATTTTATCGGACGCACTAGCCAAGCCTTCCTGCGTTCAGCCAAAATAACGCATGTGGTCAAGTTTTGGTTGCAGCCACCACATTTGGGGGTGGCCTTTCCCAGCACCATTACCAGTTCGGCACGTTCTGCATTAGGCAATGCTGATAAGTCCTAATGGCGCTGCTTCAGCGTGGTATACAAGTTTGTGCAGAATAATGGTGCACGTCATCACGCATGAAACAATAAAATTCACAGCCGAAAGCGAAATATCCATATAAGGTACCAATTTGCTTCAAACGCAGTGTCAAACTGCGGCACTCTACTTCTACGCATGCTGATTTTTCGTAAATGCTCAAGCTTCGTTTATACAGTCGCAGCATTTTTTATAGAGCATCTGAGAGTCTGGTGGCGGAGACACAGCAAAGTAAGTCAGCTACCCCGGTCTTGATACCTCGTTTGCGTTTCGCTTGTGTTACCCATTGCAAGAGTCACAGTTCTCCTTTCACTTCAGGTGTGTAGCAGTTGTCAGAGATGCATTGTTACGTGCAGCCGAAAAGGGTGGAAGCTGGTCATTAGGCAGCTGAGACACCTAATCCACAAACTACGAAGGCTGCACATGTATAGCTTCACAACTTACCCTAGGCCTGCAGTGCAGCTTCGCCCCCATATGATCGCCGCAATCGGCATCATTTGTCGACTGACTGTTTGAGCTGCTGATAGTTCGGGAAAGTCCGTTAAGCGTAGCTCTATGTCAAAATAATTCTGCTTCTTTGAGAGTGTTTGCATCCCACACCTTAAAATTCACGAAATTCTTGGCATTCACATCACCAAGCAGTGCCAAAAGCTCGCAAGAAAAACCTTGGTGAGCAGTGTGTGTTGCATTGCCTTGAGGCCAGGCGTGTGCCTGAAAATGGCCTTTGGACAGCTTGCTACCGCGGCGCTACTGCTGCGTATGAAGGCCTGGTCTTTTCCCTATAGTATCACAAGGCGACGAAGCTGAAATTATGATGGTCAAGCGTTCTCGATTTTTTCCTTCGCCGCTGCAGGAAGCTTCGCATACATGCCCGGTTTAGCTGGGTCTGCAACGGAGCACACAACTGATCACAATTGATCTCTTGATGCAGCATATTGCTTGAAATGTGGCTCTGTGTGGTGCCGCTCTACTGAGGCGTGTGATAGCCTGCTTATATGGCCACTTGCAGGCTACGTGAGTGTGAAAGCCAGAAGGTATTAAGGTATGCAACTGACAGAGCCGGTACTACGATTTCCTCTCTTCTGTTGTGTCCCTAATGTAGTTGCGGGTCCACGAAGCTGCCTCTGCGCTGCGATCTGGGTGCTTGCGTTTGCCGCTGTAGGCGAGAACTCGTGGCCGCAAGCCTCAACGGGCGGTTTTATCCTTGGATTAGCACTATTGCATATCCAAGAGCTACTCCTTGCATCAAAGAGCCTTAAAGCCAAGGGGGTTCCTGTCAGAGTCGCTGCCGCTAATAATATCTGCTCTGTATGCTGAAAATAATAAGCATATTGTTCAATCGTAACTTCATTGCCGAGTAGGTATTTTGTTGGAGCTACCACTGGAACACCACCTGCTTCATTGGCTGCTTCTGTTGCTAAAATTTTTGCCACACCATGACATAGCCATTAAGAGTATCCTTTTTGGTTGTTCCTGGCACTTGATCAAGTGAAACTGCTGCTGTGGGCGGTTCTCGTTTCAGGGTAATGGGCCTGGTCAAGTGGCCCACTCATGGAATCGAGTATGGCATTGCATAAGCTAGGGCTGCCAAATCTGTTAAACTCACCGGGCACGTAGCACCTACTTGCCAGGGGAGCGCAAGTACAGCTTTGACGCTAACACCATCATATAATGCAGATGTTGCTGCTGGAGCTGCTCTGCACTTCGCCGTGCACGGTGAAAATTTTCAATCTCAGGCTCGCTGCTATCACCGTCATCTTCAGCTTGTGCTGCCTAGTTAATTGCGCAGTATTACAGTCGCTCCTAGCGCTCTCATCAGCTGCGTACGTTGCAGAGCCGAGAGTGTTAACAGTGGACTCGTTGCTGGCACCTTCAGCTACTCCGCCTGGCGCTGCTGGACCAGGTGCTTGGGAAGCGTGTAAGTGGTCGCTTAACAGCTTCGTCCTCCCCACCAATCGAACAAATCATCGCCACCACAATTCCATAATGGGGAGACAAAGTGTGAAACGCGTGGAACACAGGAATAAGACGCCGCAGACAAATAACGGATACGGTGGTGCATAAGCTGCTTGCATCCAGATGCAGGAAGCAGCCACAGCCACACTCCCCATTATTCCCTAATTTTTATAGCCTTTGGTCAGGTGGAGGTGAAAGCTAAGGCAGACAGCAGGTAAACCACTCCAGGAATATAGGAGGGATGGGCATCATCGATGCTATTGCTGTGCTAATGAGTCTCTAGACCGCTTCCAGCGACACCCTCGGTGAAGAATCTAGTTATGTTTCAACATGGTATGAGTGATCCTACTTCATATTACTAGTTGCGCAGGCAAGCCAATAATACCCCAGTACCATTACAATGAGAGTCGCCTGTCTATACACGGCACAAAAATGCTGCACGGATTGGCCGGATATCATTTGCATTGAAGCTGAGGCATGACAAACTTATTAGAACATTTAGAGTCTTCTTAAAGGGGGACAAATCTAAGGAGAAGACATATCTTCAATCTGCCTCGTTGTACAGCTGAGCTCCCTTGCCTGTGCTCTGCCATTCGTGACGCAGAATCGACAGTCAGCAAAGGAAAGCCGGCTGTTCTTGCGTCCCTGCAGCGTTGACTAGTTGCCTTTATAACAAAATTCGGACTCTCTTCCATATATTCGCCAAACGGCGTTTTCACTGTCCGCTCTCTCTATTGGATTTGAAGGCCCCCTCCGCTTGGGCGTCGCCGCACACAGCATTGTCCCGATCAGCTTTTCTCAAGGGCGAGTCTGGAACATTTCATTTAAATTGGGTACCAAATGGACGAGCAAATCAATATGAGGAAGCTTGAGGGGAAACAACAACAAAGGGACATTTACGAAACCCTTAGGCAAACGAGGGTCCTCCATGAAGACTTCACGGGCCGCCTCCCATCTCCGAAAAACCCAAAGTAACATTTGCAAAACAAAATTTTAAAATCGAGTACAAGCATATTTCTATGTAAACGTGCCCTTATGCAGTAATAAAGCCGCAGCCGATCCCCAGCGTTCCTGAGATTGGAGCAGGGACTCACCCGCCACGCCTCCGTTGCAGTCCCGGTAAGCATTTTTGTTTCCTCGCCAAAAATTATTTGATTTCCGGAGCTTTTTCCAGATTCAAGTAGTCTTTACTTTATTGAACATCTGTAATTCAATCTGGATGCTTCGTCGCGTTTGCGATTTGTGGCCTCTAGTGTTACGCTCTGGCAAGAAACATTCTCCTATCTGAATTTAGTGACACTATCAACTACAAGTGCGTTCTTCCCGAAAGAAATATATGTGCGTGGGAGGACAAAACGGAAGAAGAAACGAGGCTTCAGCTCGACTCCTGCAGTGTGGAAAAACCTCCTGTCGTTCTTGACTAATGAAAACATCGTTGGCAAATGCTTTCGCTGTAGTTCGTCTTTAACAAATCTAAGAAATTCACCTCTGAGGGCTAAATACGAAACTCCAATTGAAGCGATCCACCAATAATTATCAATGTGAGAGATCAATAATCTTTAGTTACAAGGTTGACTATTACGTGCATGTGTTTTTGTCGCGCTGGGCATTTTGTTCGTGGTTGTTGCCGTTGGATTGCAGTCGCGTTGACACGCGTCGTACACTAAAGCTAACTTAGGGAAATTTCTTCATTGCCCCAGAAAAACAATCCTGGAAGTAAATCGGCTTCCAGCTCGCTGCCTATCTAGTGGCGGTCCCGCATACGGCAGGCAGCAGGAGTGAATTGAATGTTCCTCCGATGCGACCCTGAACAGTTCCATCGCTTGGCACCTCACAATACCCTTGCAAGAGAAACCACCCCTTCAACAGATGCTACAGCTGCGACAGCAGTAGTGCGGGCGCGCAGCACAGGTTAAAATCGACGGTGGTGGCCCGCTTCCACCAAATACTTTGAAGCCAGATTCTGTTCAGCTTTAAGCCCTTCCGAGTCATCATTCTCCGGATTTCCCGGGAATCCTTTGCGCCAAGAACGTCCCTATCGACCACGAAAATTCGGCCTGCAAGTGTTTCCCACTGTTCCTGGTTCTAACCACGTTCCTTGGCCTTCGCCGTAGCTCACAAATCTCAACCATTCTGCAAAAAGTCTGACCAGGGCAAACCCGGATCTTAGCAGGCAGGTTGTTGTTGTTGTGTTTCTTTGGAACAATATTGCTGCTTTGTGCTCCGCTCTTCGGCCAACTTAACACTGTCTGGCGCGCTTTTAGGGCAATGCTTTTGCCTTATGCCAACGCTTCTGTCAGTCAGAGACACAGCAACGGCGTCAAACCAAAGTTAAGACTTCACCGAATCTGCTCCACAAGTCTTTGCACCTATTGCGAAGCGCTGGAAGGGCTCCACGAGGTCCAGCCACAAGGGCAACGCCGTTTTAGGCGATCGTTTGTTACTGCAGATATATACATTAACATCAATAAGCTCGCAAGGGCGCATGCCAATGAATACGGAAATATCTCGGTGCATGAAGGAATGTAGAGTGCTCTAGACTTGCAGCACCTGTATGCAGCTGGGAGAAATCCATCTCAACATGCAACAAACGTTGATGCAGCCGCTGCTCAGATGCTGCTACTGCTGATCTTTTGGGGTTGTTCGTTTGGGCTAATAACTTCTTGCACTACTATGGCTTCAACTCGTTATACCTCTGTCTCGCCTGAGCAAAAGCCAAAATCAACGGAGGCCTGTAATGGTAAAACTAACCTCTGGAAGTCTGAGCGATGAAAAATCAAGTGCCTTTGTTGGGACATGAAAAGGTAGCGGCGCTTGTTTGGTACAAAAAACAACCATGCGCACACGACGACACTGACCCACGAAGTGAAGTTAAAAAAGCAGCCAAAAGAGGATCTGCAGCTGCAGTTTGGTCCATACACGACTGGGTCGGCGTGGCTCAGGGAATCAAGATATCTCGGATCATTTGAGACCAATGATGAATACAAGAAGCCGCAAATTTCGTACAGCCTTCGCATCGTTGAAAGTAAAAATTCGGCTTGTTGCACTTGCAAGGAAAAAGAAAGTCGCAAGTCAGCTTGACGGTGGCGATGCATCAATATAGATGCTTCATTCCGAGGCCACACCCTCTGGAGTCCCCAAATTGACATGCAAGCTACGTGTGAGTAACGTGTTTTTTCACGCCGGATAGAAGAGAGCACATCTTGCATGTGGTCCTCGTATTCGTTCATTCGTCTTCGCGCTTGCAAAAAGTGATAAATAAAACACTAGCAAGGCATAAATATGAATTCACCGGACGAATGACTTTAGCCATCTGAAATGTCTGTGGCTGAAATGCAACAAACGCAGGCAGAAACCTTTGCAATTGCATGTGCTGCGAATCACGCCATTAGGAAGATGTGTCTCTGGTCTACACCCAACTTTGGAAGATATCAGTAGCCCTTTACACAAGCAACCGCAAGTAAGTAGTGCTTTCCTAAGGGCTCACCGTAAACTGTCACAGAAACTTTGCCTTTGCAACGGGAAGCCGTTGGCCTTTTCAGCTCGAAACAGAAACGGGATTCGCTTTTCCGAGCTGCAGCACGCATCAAATGCTGCTTTAGTCATACACACTGAACAACAGACTCATAACTTTAAAAACCAGTACAAGGCATTGAAACATCCGCCGAATGCTGGAGCAGTGGGCAGTCCACGGAGGCTACCCGTGAAGCCTTTGAAAAAGCTTTGCTTGTGGTTACGCCTACCTCCAGAGTCTTGAAGTTGGGCGAAAAGCGCCGTTATTAAATCCTCAGTAAGCATTTGGACATCTCGTCTGAACTGCACCCAAGCAAAGAGCAAACTCCACACGAGCTTGCAACGGTTTTGCGAGGCCAGTTGGTGTCTGGACAAATCGTGACCGTAGAGGAACTTTAAAAAAAAGCTAACCCGTTTGCTGTGATTTCCGTCAAACCCTTTTTTAAGCGCTAATGCCTTCTTAAGACGGGTCCACATGCTCGAAGTTTTCATTTCCTACACATAGGCACACAATATGCTAGCAGCATCACCAAGCTCTACCAAGCAGAGTCTTTGAGATGCGCATGTTGACACGTGTCAGCATGCATATGCAAGAAGATGCAGTTCAAGAAGTCGGGGAAACCGACTAACTTACAAGCTCCTCCACTACAATGTTGAGCGTAACCCGTGTGGTGCCGTTTGGGAGAAGACATGGAGCGTGGAGACGGTCTGCAGGGAATTCACATCGATTCGCAGAGATTGCAGCTTTGCTGTAGAGCAAACTATCGTAAATTGTCTGTGGGAGGGAGGCCCCGTATTGTGTAGAGCGGCAAACAGAGCTTGTTGCATCCTTTTAGAATGTTCGCCCCTTCCAGGTCTGGTGCTGATTCTGCTAGTGCTGCTGCCAGTGATTTAATCAATTGCCATGGGCGGAGCAGGTTGCTGAATCACAGGCCTTACTGCAGACTCGATCCGGATGGGGCGAACAAAGACTACTCGCAAGCCGTCCAAGGTCCTTAAGCACATCCCGCAAGGCTTGGTTCTCCTGGAACAAGCAGAACACAACAGCAAATGGCAAATAGACAGGTGCCGGCTGCTGAGTTGGGAGGCCTGCTGCAACCAAATAAGTCAAACCGACTGCGAGCTGAAATCATCTTCGTCACACGTGTTTCTAGCTGCAACAAACGCGGAAAGCCTGCTTGCAGCTAGTAGCCGTGCTCATCCTATCGCTTAGATATGCCTCGTTCCCGCTGCTGCACTGTAGGCTTACTTCTCTATTCCCGATACGTGGAAAAGGGTAATGGTCGTCCAGATCTTTGTAGTGAGGCGATTCCGGAACCCCAATCATCATAAGCGCGATGTTATCAAAGGTAGCCTGTACTGATTGACCGCCACCCACGTCGGCAGAGAATGCACCGCGATCTGAAGCCCTAACTAATTGAGTTAGCTCCTGGGCAGATCTGAAACTTGCCAGAAAAGCCACGTCTTGGGTTCCATAATCGTCTTCCTCGTAATAGCGAGGTTCTGGTTCTGGTTCCGTTTCCACTTGGTCTTCTGAATGGACACTTGCCCGGAAAAGTCTATCATTGTTGTAAATGCCGCTGATATTGTCAAAATCATCCGGGGTGTAGATATCAGAAGCCAAGTACATATCACGCCAATCACCGCCGTATTCGTATCCGGGTGTAACTCCTTGTGCTGCTGCTCCTTGGCTGAAAGAAAATCCGTCATCAGTCAGTGGGAGAGCACCAAACAGGTTGGGGTAGCTGTCACCCGCATCATCTCTTCCTGTCTCTACGGAATCAGTTCCTTCTGATGTACCTTCTCGAGCAGAACTTGAAGCGGGCGGCAACGAATCATATCCCTCAATGTTGGGGGCATTTCTGGGAGCGGCACGTGGTCTTGTTGGTTCCTCTTCCGCAGCTGCCCCCAAAAGAGCTGCGGCAGAAGTTGTCCGGGCTTGCTGCGGGCTCTGCTTTTTCCCTGTGGCATTCGTAGCACCTGGAGTCCACGCTCCTTCTGATAAAACATCTGATCCAGGAGTTTCAGGGCGTCGTGAGCTGCTGGGGAAGCCGCTGGAGGTACTGGCGGCAGCAGCTGCTGCTTCTCCTGCTTCCGAAGAAGTTGCGGGTGCAGGCCCTTCGAGATACTGCGTTCCGCTGGTGCTGCCAAAGCTCCTTCGCAAGAAATATCTGGACAGTGAACCTAAGTCTTGAAGCCAAGATGCTGGTTCTGTACCTATCCAAAGGGTCCACTCCCTGGAAGAGCGATCAGGATCCGCGTCTGTTGCGCGATTGCAGTATTCTTCATCGCTGGGGGTCTGAGCCATTCACAGGCAAGATATGTAAGAGGCTACGTACACAAATCCGACAGAACGAACGAGTCAAGTATAACTGCTAGTTTTATAGAGGACATATACTAAATGGGCCCATACCCACCTGCGGGGCCCTTTCTCTGCGCTCACCGTCCCGCGGGCGCTCCGCGAGGCGACGACGCGACCTGGAGGAAAATTCGGAGAGACGGAAGGAGCATTTCAGCACGAGATATATGAGGGCACTCGAGGCAAGCAGTGCTAGAACAACAACAGTTCGCCAATATGCCGCAACTCGGGGCCGTTGCGACGGGGGATCCTTTGGTTTGAGGTAAGGAGCCCGGGGGAGTCCCTCCAACCCAAGAGCTTCTGTAGCGCTAGTTAGCCAAGAATAAGCTTCTGTTTCCATGGATGATGCCTGAAGAAATGCAGAGCTGGCGGCCACGCAGAGCCGCAATAGCGCACTGTCTTGTCCGGCCGTGACTCTCCAGAATTGGGGCTACCAGGCTACTAGATCTGCTACACCAGTTTCTTTTTCATCGCAAGGTACGCAAGACCAAAGGGGACTCCCTCTGTGAAGATCCTTTTCCGTTAGCCGTGAGTCACAACCACCTGCCGCCGAATGGATGTAAGCAGCTTGATTTTGATGCGGGCCCGAAGACACGAAAGGGACAACTACTGCAGTGCAATGCGCCTCAAGACTTGCCTGGGTTCCGAAGCCACGAGTTCAATGCTTGATTTCGTGAAGACACTTGTGGGGAACGCAAGGCTTGGTGGAGGACCGCGAGCGCTCGTTGTTATATATTCCGCAGTAGACTATCGCTATTGGTGGCACCTACAAATGTTGTATAAAAGCTGCCCTCTATCATTCGGGCGTGTCGTGCCAACAGCGGAGCTGCTGCTGAATCCGCAAGTGAGAAGCAGTGTTACTCTATGCTTTGCAGTGCGCTCGCGGTGACTGCTCTCACACCATTATTCGAGTACCCACAACACGTATACTTAGCTCTCAGACAAAAGGTCAATCCACTTGGCAGTATCTTTTGTCTCGATGTGTGCTGTTTCTACGTTTGTTTCGCGTGCGTGGAGACAAGGTGCGCGGAGCGGGGCCCTGAGACAATGGATCTGGTGCTGAAGAGACCAACACGAGTTGAAACCAACCAAGAAAGCCCTTTTCGTTTCAGTGATATTGATCTTATTATTTGGAGATTGCTCCTAATGCTCAAAACAGCAATGGAGTTTCGTAGCTCTACTCAACGCCGATTTCTGCTGTTCAGACTTCAACTTCGCGCACTCTGTTACCTCAGGTGAGTCCAAGGGCATCGCGAAACAGTTCTCAACTGACATTCTACCATTAAGTCCTCTTTAATTTTTTGTCAGCTTTATGCGGTTATCTGAGCATTAAACACACTGATTTCAGGTCTAAATCTTTAGGTACGATTGCGAGGGGAAGTTCGAGCACACACGAGGCGCGGAAAGTGGCTCGCGCATCGTGGTGTTGCTCTTTCTTCCAGTTTCTGTCACTCTAAGACGTGAAATAAGATGAAGGTAAATGTCATTTGAGAGGAAAACGGTAAGCAGTGGGTCAAGCTGCCATATAAGCGGGGTGGTCCCGAATGACTGGACTGCACCATCCTGTGATTCACGCAACCCGAAATTCCTTTTTGAAAGGAACAATAATTTGATTCTTAAACATCATCAATGTTCTGTCTGATCTGCCCGGATAAAAATAATGCCAGGGCCACCACTGCAACAGTTGCTGTCACCGCCGATCGCTGGTGCGCACCAGCATGGCAGACAGCATGAGGCTCTTAAGGCTCCCCATAAAGGAAGTGACGAACAACCAGCACGAAGCATAAGATACATCTACTGAACAACAATATGAAGAACACATCTCAGCCACGGTCCGACATATTTCTTGTCACGCTGCACACTAACGTGGACACATGACAAAAAAAGCCAAAAGCCACCCCCTTCCGTCGGCCGATTTAGGTTTTTTGCTGAATGATGCAGATTAATGCTTATCCGGGATATACAGTTTAGTGAAATCTGGAGCTAGCAGCCACCTGCTATGCCCATCAAGCGAAGCGAAAGTTGTGGTTGCTGCACGAGGATGCAGGTGTGGAGGCATATATGTGTCGCTGCTGGGTGCTCAACCACTAAGAACATTGGCAACTTCCCAGTATGGCTGCATCAATAGAGGACTCAAGGGCCCCACCGTGCCCCAGAGTGGTAATATCAGCCGACAGTGCCTGAGCATGGATGGCACAGCGAAATATCTCTGCACAAACGGAAGGGAGGCCCGGACCTTGGTCTTGACCCCTTTAACGGGAAAGCAGCATGCACATGTGGTGCTGTCTACCATGGGGTAGTAAATCGTGCCATTTGTTTTGGGCAGGGCCTTTCTCGCTAAACAGGCAATACCAAAACACGTAGAGCTTTTGTCTAGACACCACTTTCCGCACTGAGCTTCTCCTCCTAGCCTCAGATACGCTGCTCTCCTTATCTTACAACGTGTCTTCCCTGAATATATTGGTGTCTACTGACTCTAATCTTGCAAGACAATTGACTAATCGTACACTTTTCTGATTCATTTCATATTGATTAATATCTACGTTACTAATTCACCATCGTTTGTTGTAATAAAATTGCTACTGTTTCAATACTTAAAAGCGCTTTTAAACGCATTTATTGTACTAAACGAGTTTGATAATGGCTCAGGAATAGCGCGGAAGCCACTAGCTGTGCAGCGCAAAGTTTCACTCGAAAGTGAACGAATCTGTTCCAAGCCTTGCAGCGCCTGAGGGTCCAGTTTCAGTGCTCGTGGACCCTTTTCCTGGGAGGGTTTCCAGCTTTAGTTAGCGGTCACCTATCGTTTAGCATTTGCTGGGCCCATATATTACCCTGGCATACAGGCTGATTAGTGCAACTCCACAAAACCTTGTGCTCCTCCGCGCCAGAAACAAATTGAAAAAATTTTACCTAACTAGTTAGCTCAACCCTTTTAATCAAGAGGAAAGGCACCTGGCTTTCTTCACGAGCGCCTCATAATCCATGCATAATCCATGGCAGAAAAGCTCAATAAGCACTTGAAAATGTTTACCTGCAAGTTTACCTGCAAGAAAGCTCATGAGCTAGTGCGCTGCCAGGCCTGTACGTATTACCAGTATGCAGCCAGCTGAAAATAGCTATGCAAGCCACACGAAGTATCATACGATGCCAGCGCAGCAGAGGAATGCTAGACCACAACAGAAAGCCTTGCACAACGCAATGACTAACTGAAACCCCTTGTATGTACTGCACCCCGCATAGCAAAATTAATGGCTTTGTGCAAGCAAATTTCTACTCTCCCTTGCGATGAAATGCAAAGCCACTCAAGAGACACTCTTGACGGGCTGGCTCGTACCGCAGGTCGGCATTCTGCAATACGGTAACTACCGTCCCCCGTATTGTGATCTGTTTGTTTTTCACACGGATGCCGGTTACATAAGAGCACATTTGCAGAAAAAAAGACCTCAATTCGTCGATAAAACAAGGTAACGGAATAGTCTGCACACCCCAGTGCTCGAGCTCTAGAAATTGCTGTCATTTCGTGCTGAATTCAAGCATTGCAAACCAAAGGGAGCAAATAAGCTAACAGTTTTAAGAGCGCTAAGGCACTGACTAGCTCACTTATTACATTGTTTTGTCACACTAAGCAACCACTTTATGCTTGGCGCATCGTTCAAATAAGAAGGAGCCAAAGATCAAACTTTCGATCACTGTGCTCGGCGCTGGCAAACGCGTAAGAGGCCTGATTGTGTAATTGTTTTCGACGAAGTACATACTTGGCTGTACATCCCGTGTGCTAGAACATTTCTTGATATGCTCATGCCCGTGCGTGTGTATTTATGGGCACGAGGATCAAAGCATGCAAGCAAGTTCTCCATAGTACTCTTGCTTCAGAAATGGACCCAGATCCCGAATTTCTATGCATGGACACTGAGTCAGTTGCCTGTGAGGACAATGAGTCGGAAATTACTGGCGGCACTATAGGGAACAAGCCGAGACAACAAAAGTAGAGAACATGGCCTCCCCGAAGCTGTACGCATTATTCAGCACGTTGGTTTCTGAGTTGCTGACTGATGGGAGCACCAACGTGCCCAAAAAAAGGAGAGTGGCAAGATAACGGGTCCAGAATGCTTGCAGTGTACGACGCATGTATGCAAACTTACATGCAACGATGTATAAACTCTGTAAGTAAGTGCTCTACTTAGTCATAGCTGGTGGGCTAGAATGCCGTTTGCCTGCCAAGAAGAGCTTCTTCGACATAGCCATGAAGGCAGCAGAAGTCCAGCAACGATAAACATATTTAGGTCAGTGGAATAAGTTGAGGACCTGAAGAATGGTTTTTAGTAAGGTTGGGTTGCTGCTATCTCAGCTGAGCAAAGGGCGTTTGCATCGATAGTGGCATCCACTATGCTGCTTGATGACAAAGAGTTTGGAACCACCCCGCGAGCCAGGCTCCGCTCGCATTTGTAGGTGATCAGGGTATATCTAGTGCAGAGGGTATGGCGTGACGCTGAGACACTACTATGCGAAGTGTAGCCATTCGGTGCTATAAAGTGTTGTGACTTACGTTTAGTTAGATTCCCCCGTTCCTCCATCTTGCTAGGGTCCAGCTTCGCTTTTGGTGTCCTCCTCTCCCTTCAGAACGACTTTTCTACAAATTTTGCAACTTTCCTGGAGTCCATTTCCAGGGTGTCTACAAGATTCCTGCAACGCCACCATTGAATCAGACTAACGTTTTGACAAATTCTTCACACGCGACTCTCGGCAAGAGAATATTCAGAGGATCAGCAGCAAGAACGGCCCAATTATCTCACTGCATGCAATTAGGAACAGCCATTGTTGTGGGGCCTCCAAAATTCGGGAGGCCCTCGGGGGCCCCCACGGCCTTCGTACCCCTCCGAAACTGCAGCAAAAGGAGAAATGCGAGGCTGTTGCTTAGTTCGGAAGCAACTTTTCAAGTATGTTTTTAGCCCTTTAAATAATTTTCCACACCTCTTGGCAGCTGGCAAACGTAGCACCAGCGGGCGAAGGAGCATCGAGACCAGCGGCTATGTTGCTCGGTTCCTGTTGCTCGTGTTAGAGCAGCAGTTTAAACAGCCAAACAAGGGAGGTTAACAGTTGTTGTTGTTACTGCTACAGCTGTAATCTAGCGGCTGAAGCAGAACCAGTAACAGCGACCCAGGCAAGCTATGCACCAGCAGGGAAAGTTGCAGCAGCGACAACAAGTCCCGCAGCAGATGTTAAATTGAAACATCAGGAGCTCCTGATATACAGAACGTAACACTGAAGACCCGCAGTCAAAAGCACTGAATCATTGGGGCTCCCATGGGGGGCCCCTCAAGTGGCAGGGCTGCCCGCCAGCGGGGCCAAGCTTTGCGCGTTTCGTACGGGGATCTTGCTGCAGGGCCCCCTGCAGCAGCAGCAGCGTCCGCTACTCCTGCAGGAGCGTCTGCTGACGCACCGGACTCCAGGCCTTGGGAGACGCAGAAACAGCTAACGCAGCGGCAGCAACTGCAGCAGCGGCGGCAACACCATGAACTTCAAAGCAAGCGCAGAAAGCAAATGCATATTCAGCAGCAGCAACTACATCAAAGCTCCAGGTCCCAAGAGCTGCGCCAGCAGCAGCAGCCCATGCAGCACCAGCACAATCAGGGTTCTAGCATTTCACTACTCCTAAACAACGGCAGCAGCGGCAAAAGCAGCAGCTGCAGCAGTTTCTGTTACTCCCCTTCTACACAAGTAGGATTGGGCCCAGACACAACTTACGGGTACTCTAGTCAGCAGCAGCAGCAGCATCAGCAGCAGCATTTGCAACAGGTGCAGCACCAGCAATTACACCAGCAAATTGCTCCTCCACCGCCGCCGCCGCCTCCTGAAAGTCCTCTACTGCAGCAGCAGCCTCTAGTGCAGCAGCAGGCTCTAGTGCAGCAGCACTCGACCCTGCTGCTGCAGCAGCGCCACCCACAAATGCAGCAAGCACCAGCGCAGCAACAATCGCTGCAGCAGCTGACACCGGAAGGGCACGCAGTGCAGCACCCACTGCAGAGGCAGGCGCACCAGCAGCAGCAACAGCAAAAGATGCAGGTGATGTTCCAGCAGCAGCCACTACAGCAGCAGCCGCCACAGAAGAAGCAAGAGCAGCAGCAGCCACTACACCCAATGTGCCAAGAGCCTTTGCAACAGTTACACAAGCAGCAGCAGCCGTATATGCAGCAGGTGTACACGGAGCACACGAAAACGCAGCAGCCGCTCCAAAAGCCAATGCAACAGCTGCAGCCACAACAGCAGCAGCCAGCGCCCCAGCAGCAACAGCAGCAGCAGCAGCAGACAATGCAGCAGCAGCAACCGCAGCAACAGCAGCAGCAGCAACCGCAGCAACAATCATTTCAGGAAAACTCACAGCAACGAAAGGTACCGCAGCAGCAGCTCCTGCAGCAGCAGCCAATGCCGCAGTCTCCACAAGCGCAGCAACAGACAGTACAGCAACAGGCACTACATCAACTACCGCAAGCTCAACAGCAGCTGCAGCAACCACAAGAGCCACTGCAGCAGCAGCAACTGCAGCGGCAGGCTTCAGCTCAGCAGCAGCCACAGTTGCAGCAGCAGTGCTTTTGGCCGGACGCAGTGGCTGCAACAGCCCCTTCACAGCAGTGGCAGACGCAACACCAGGAGCAGCCTCAGCAACAGCAAAACCAACAGCAACATTGCAGAGGGCACCTGCTGCATCATAACCGGCAGCAACGGCAGCACAGGGAGCAGCACCAAGGGCAGCCGCAGCAACAGATGCAGCCCCCAGTGCAGCAGCAGATGCAGCTGCTGCAACAGGACATGCAGCACCACCTTCAGCCTCTTCACAAGCAAGTGCAGCCCCAGCCCGTGCAGCACTGGCCTCAACAGGCACAGCAGCAGCAGCAGCCTCAGGTGCACCAGCAGCAGCTGCAGCAGCAAATGGTCGTAGCACCTCCTCCGCCGCCTCCCCCGCCTGCTGCGACTTACAGCATGAGCAGCAGCGCCAGCTGCAGCAGCTTATGCAGCAGCATGCACATCCTGAATTGCGGCCCGAAGCAGCAGCAGCCGCAATACCAAGCACAGCAGCACTCGGAGCAGCTCCATCAGCAGCAGCACATGGGGCCACCGGCTCTCCCCCTGTGCAGCACGAGAGGCCCTTCTAGCTGGTCTTCTTGCCAGCCGCCGCCGCCGCCGCCTTTGGCGCCGCCGCCGCCGCATAATCGTGTGAAGGCTGAGGGGGGTGTCTTAGCGCCTTCTTTGCGGGAGCGGAGAAGCAAGAAGGGCTTGTAAGCGCAGGCCGCGAGCTTTGAACTTTGCATGCTGCACTAAGCTGTGTACACCAGGGTTAGTAAAAGATGAGCGCAAGGGAGGACGGCGTTGTGTGTGCAGCGAGGGCTTCGTCTGCGGCCCTTGTGAGAAAAGCTTCTCTTCATTAGCTCGTCTGCAAAGGCACGAAAAAGAGGAGCATATCTGCTGTCCACACTTGGGGTGTACGTACGCCGGGCCGCCACACGCAGTTTGTATGCACAAACTTCGCCACATGAAAAACCACGAAGGGTGAGCAGGCTGCGTGGGCTGCGGCTGCAGCTGATGCTGCATGGCTAATGCCTATTGTCGTTGTGGGGCCTGCTCCATGCTTCTGCATGCTGTGAATAGTATATGGTGCTATTCGTTGTTGCTCGTGTGCGCGCCACGTCTGTTCGTTGCTGCTGTTACTCTTGCACCTTGTACAGGGAGAGTATTGTTGATAGCCCATCGGAAGTGGCGCTATGGCTGTCTGCGAGAAAGGCCTCATATCCCAAAAAGCACAAAACTGAAGTACGTCTTATTATCAATTAATGGCGCACGGCGTAGAACTGAGCACAATACTGTGTTTCAGCAATTAGGGCCTACGCTTCGGGACGTGGCTTGTGCTTGTGCTGACCGGTGCAGGAAACGGACATGAAGGTTACGGAACAACGAAAGAGTGTCCTAGAGAGTCCGCAAACGCCGTGTTATTAATCTTAATCCCTGGTGCTTCACTGTTGTTCTGTATTCTTCATGTTCATATGGGGCACCGATCAGAACAGGCAGAAGCTATACATTAACTGATTTGAAGTGTAGATGCCCGGAGGCTTTGAATTGCGCCAGCTTTTGTAGGGGCTTCGATACACCCGTTTGAGGCGGTAGGATTTAACGTCTTTTGCTTGCGGTTAAGGGTTTGAGGGGAGATGGATTTAGGTCTGGTGTTATGTTTTCAGCAATTCTACGAAACTCGCTCGCCAGCAACTCAAATGACTACGCAGGACGCCTTCCTGACTCATGGTTTTCCCCGTATGGTGGGCATTAGAGCGTGCAGGCTGCTGCCTCAGCTGTACACTCAAAGCCGTAGATACTGAACTGCAGCTCTGATAACATAGGTTACTGCTTTGAGGCTTTGCTTGGCCTATTCGGTCGTCTTGTTTGTTGCAAAAGGACAGGCCTAACATAGTTGTTTCTGCTGCTGCTGTCTGCTGTATGGATTGCTTCAGATAGCGGCAATCTTTGGGGTGTACACACATCCCAGCTTCGACCGCCGCAACAGTTAATGTTCCGTCCTCCCCTGCGGCTGCTACTACAAGCAGCAGACCGCCGGAAGTGGGAAAGGAAGCTCCTGGCCGCCCTGCACTATTTGGTACAGAATGACTTTTTTTCGGAGCAGCAGGATACACGTCAGCGGGAGCAAGAGGAACAGCAAAGGATGGAACACCTACAGCCGCAACAGGGCCCGCTGAAGGGGCAACAGAGCCCGCTGCTTTCAGACCAAGGCAAGGACCAGGAAGACGATGCGGACCAGCAACATGAAGAGGGAGAGCTTCGACTTGAAGAGGAGTAGCAGGAGGATATTGGATAAGCAGCAACGGCAAGAGAGAACGTCTGTTTACCAGTATGCGGAAGTATAGATGCAGCATCAGGAGCTGAAACGGCAGCATGAATTGCACAACGCCGTGCAGGTGCAGGTGTGTCACGTTCTGCTCCTGCAGCTGCAGAAGCGCAGTGCTATGTAGTAACGCCAGTAACAGCACAGCGCAGTGCAGCGGCAACAGCGATGGGGCAACGCATTATAGCTTGCAGCAGTCGAAGAGCCACTTCAGCCGAGCATCAAGAGGAACAGGCCTTGCTCGGAAAGCCCCAGATGCGCTTTTTTTAATCTTCGTAGCGGTTGCCGCAGCAGCTTTTTTTATTGCTGCTGCATGTTGCGGCCTAGTTGCTCTATGTATACTATGTGGGGTGGCAGCCACTCATGGCATAAATACCAGCAAAAGAAAAAGAACACCAGCAGCAGCACCCACATTTGCTGCGGGTGAGGGTGAAAACAGTCCTTTCGTTTTATCGTCCTTTTATAGCTTTCTCTTAGTGCCAGTTTTTCCTGTTGCATTTTTTTATCATCTACAACTCTGTATTTGTATTATTTCAAGTGTTTCTGTCTTATCAAGGCGCACAGAGCTTCGTCGTTTCCGTCTTCAAGACAGATAGTGGTGGCGTATTCATGTGGAGCTACGTGAAGGAGCGGTCCAGAAAGGAGAGTACAAATGAGAGATATACAAATGAGGGTTGGATTTGCACAACGTTTTTGTCCTGATCAGAGTGTTGCCTCTGGGCAGATGCGTAGAGCAAGCCTAAAGAAAAATCACACGTCATCGGTAGTCGTCCCTTCAGCTGGTCGTTGATTGGAGCCTTTAGAGTTGGCTTGATGTAAAAGCACTTGCTATGTGCAGCACGGAGATACTATGGGCTTGGGACGGTGCAACAGTGACTGCAGGACAGCGAACCGCATTTATTGCGTCGAAGCAGAGGCACGCAGCGCATTGCCCGGACTACATCACATTTAACAGTCACTTGACACTGCTACTGTAGCAAAGAGAGCTGACCCGTAGATGTGCCTCAAGCACGCGTCAAAGGTTTCTGCTCTGGTGCACATGCAAGGGGAAACGCCGTGAACTACAAATGAGCTATGGCCAGCAACCCTGATTCCAGACACACAGACAATTAGAGCGCAATGTGTGCACCGCCTGGTAGCGCAACCTTCGTAGTGGGATCCGTGAGACTGCACTCACTGGTAAGCATGCTGGCGTCCTATCACTGAGAAAGTGGCAGCAGCGAAGAGCATTCCCAGTAACAGCGCTATAACGTTACTTAGACGCCATGCATAGGCTGCATGAAAGCAAGCGCACAAGAACTGACATTTTGGAATGTTCCAAGTGTTGCACGAAAAGATCAAGGACTAGCATAAAAGTCCTTGTGCCGATCGCAACAGGAGTGGCAAGGCGGACAATGCTAATCAAGCAACAATGCCTCGTGTTATGGACCAAGCCTGTGTTTAAGCAGCACACATACTTTGCATGCGTTTTGAAAAATGTAAAATGGCTGTTCACTTTGCAGGCAACATTCTCCAGAAGTTGTACATATAGCTTCTTTCCTCCACGCTACTTGCTCTGCCTTTGCCGCGAAAGTGCGAAGAAGAGAGCGCTTCTCATGGAAGTATCATTGCTCCTGCCCGACGAGGGCAATATGAAACAATTCCCTCTTGGGTCAAGCACTGCTACTTGCTACACAGATATTTGTTTAGACTGGAATCAGCAGAGTACGGTTATCGCTTGGTTTGAATGTGCTGAAGCAATGTTGTGATTTATGCACGTTTTCACCTAATGATAGCGTGGAATCCTGAACGAAGCTTTCAATTTATTTAAGTGATGCTAGCAGTGAGCTACCAATTTGCTTTGGCCCCTTCTCGTTGCTAATATTCAGAGCCTTACTGGCTATCTATGTTCACCTCATGGCAAATCCTTTGGTATTTACGTCGTACCATCTTCCACTTGCAGCGAGCACACGTGTACTTTGAGATAATATCAGAACATAGGCTTTATTATACGGAGGCGGAAAATGTGATGACGCAAAAATTGTAGGAAGTTAGCGTGTTCAAGTAACTCTTCGCCGATGATATGTGCTGTTTGGAATGACGAAAAAGCAGTACTTGCGGTGCTTTTAGGAGTCAACTTGTCATCGTACGATAGGCAAATGTTGTTTATAGTGGGAATTTTCCATTATTATGCAATTTTTTTTGAGTGTCTGTTTCCTCCTATGTTGGCGACGCCTTGATTCAGCAAACGTTTGTCTTGCACATACACCAGGAGTTCACTAGCAATTTTCTGGCATCAAATGCAAGTTATTGACATGAAGATTTGCATATTCGGCTCCTCTTGGTTGCTTGTGCGCTTTTTTCATTCTCTTCCTCCGTGGGTACCAGCTATTTCCTGTCCCTCTAGTGCTGCGGCAGTTCCTGGTGCAGACCATAGGCAATTGCCAGTAGCAGTAGAGCAAAGGTTCACTCATTTTTTTGACTGCGAAAATTGTTAATGAAACCAAAGTAAAGCTGCGACTCCGCAAGTCAGACTCTCGCGCATGTTAGGCTAGGCGGTGAACACTAGCAAATGCTGGGAACAGTTTATCCTGTGAGGCGAATTATATAAGACTTAGCGGGCGTCTGTGTCTTTTACGGGTCTACAAGCTGCCTAACTTTGCCGGCTGTCCTGCATGACTGTTTCATGAGCTTGAGGCATGAAGACAGGAGTCTCGCTGACAGGTACGCACCACAGGCGCCTGAAATGGGCAAATTTGGAGAAAGTGAAAAACGATTAAAAGCATTTAAAAGCATAATACTTGAATTAATTTGTAAATTAGGTACACTTGGCCTTATCACGTATTTAACTGCCCAGCTCATAGCTCACTGCCATTGGTCTGGGCCATGCGCGAGGAGTGATCAGGCGAATGAGCCCAATGCAGTAACTCATGAAAACGCATTATACAGCAATAATTATTGACTTTCGAGTTTAATACCAAAAATTATGTGAAACTAGTTTTGAACTAGCTCTGAAGCTGCTTCATTTAGAGGAACAGACAGAGGCCTCAATCCCCCTGCTGACGGTGAGTAGCGACAGAAGCGCCGCAGTGGGCCCATGCCGCTGCTGCTGGCGAGCTGAAGGGGCCTCTCTGCCTCTTTCCAAATGAAATAAGTAGCTAAGAGGAGGGAAATGTATTTAAATTCTTTTATGTGATTTGTCTTCGTGCGTTTGTCTATTCTTTCATGCGCACGTGTCGCCAAATCACTGTCTGTGGCCTTCGTGCACTCGACGCCAGAACGGCCCTTGAGCCCTCCGTAACTCTGTCGCGTTGTGCCGGTTTCGACGTCGCTAAGACTCAACTTGTACATTAGCTAAAGATGAAGGCATTTATTTCACTTTGTTGCGCCTGGGCGCTTGCGGCCAAAGTCAACGCCTTGAACGGTAAGGCTCGCTGTCTGACTCTTTGTTTCCATCACTACGCGCGTTTTTCCAGTCCCTTCCATAGTCCTCACTTCCATTGTTTTTGTGTTTTTTTACAGCGTTTTGCAGTGAACACACACCCTATTTTGTTCCACCTCATTGGCCTCCTTGACTCGTGTAGGTGCGCCACTGTTCTCAGGTACTGATCTGGACGGGCTCACTGCTGGCTCCTTCGCCGAGTTCAGAGAGGCAGACACAGTTGATTTGGCTGGCCTAAGCGCCACCGAGCCAGCAGGGGAGGCAGGCACCGCAGGTGCAGCTGTAGCGCGGGGACCGGAAGCTCCTGAAGCAGCAGTAGGAGCCCCAGGGGCAGCAGCACCACCTGCAGCACAAGCGGCGCCTACAGCCGGCGAGGGAGCTGAAGCTGCAGTGGCCACGCAAAAGTCTCCAGAGGAAGCAGCACAGCCTGGCCTTGAGGCAGCTACAGCCGGGACTGCCGAACAGCAAAAGCTGCAGCAGCCACCTACTGAAGCACCAGCAGCTGAAATTCCTTCTCCAGAGCGAGAGGCCGCACCGCTAGGCGCGGCTGCCACAGCGGCGCCTTTGGCTGGACCGGAGGACTCACCTGGTAAAAAGATAATTGCAATACGTAGAGTGGATAAGGAAAAAAGAAGCACAACCTAGCAGACAAAGTATAAGGCAAAAATGAGAGAAATGCATAAAATCCAGCTCGAGAAACATACAGAACAACAGTACTAGGGGCTTTTTGTGTCATTTGCCACTCCAAATGCCGCAGAGGACAAGCTGGCGAAGGCGCTGTTGGCCCTCGAAGTTAAGACCGCACCGAGTGAGCAAATAGTGGTGATAATTGTAAGCCCCTGGAACTTGAATTTGCTGCTCGAAAGGAAAATAAAAGTTGGGGACATACGCCAGACCACAATTCCATAGAAGCGCATCTGCTAGCTTTTGTTTGGAAGAATACATCCTACGGCTTATTTAGCATTTATCAAATGCGGTTCACTTTGTTTCAATTCAGCTCTGGAGTACTCTACGGCACTAGAATTGCAATCTGCAATCGATATGACTCTACCCGACAGTGAGCGAATTGGCTACTTTTTAAGGATTCATGGATCAGTTTATTCTGGAAGAAATCTGGTTTTCTTATTTTAATCTAGGAAGATAAACAAAAGATTAATCACGGGCGCAGTTCTTCATACATCATAGCAAAATATGTCCTGGCTTTTGTGTGCTATACAGAAATATCCGAGGACCTCCGCAGACGATTAAACACAAGAAGAGGTTAGTTGCTCTTCACCTAATCTACAATTACACATATTTTTACGTACACATTCATATGTTTTTGGAAGCTTGTGTTTGTATGCTGACGAATTTTGAGACATAAGTACATTTATATGCTTTTTGTCCATCTGTGCATACGGGCCAGCAGTAGATAGTAATCGTGAAAATGAAGTATCAGCACAGAAGAAAAGTTATTTGTCCTAATAGTACGGGGTCTATGCGAGCATGCAAAAGCTTCTGCTCACAACCAAATTCGCTAAAAAGCGGCGGTAGAGTTTAGTGTCTACTTTCGAATCTTTTACTTTGCTTTTCTGTCTAGTTGAACTTGGCGACCTGGAGACTGCTCTGTTTGCCATATTGGAGGCCTCAGATCGACTGGCTCTCCAAGAGCTATTACCTGGTGAGTTTGTTGAAAAGAAACAAAAGTAACGGTCGCGTGAGCCAAAAGGGAAGCGCAGTTCCTAAGAAGTAGGCAAAAATAACAACGAGAAAGCCCTTCGTTATACTCTCAGGCGTGCCGGAAACCTCCATATCCAAGTGGACCCTGAACGTTGTCTTGAAGTACTACAACGCTGTAAGAGGCCCGCAAGGGACCTCTCTGGTCCCGCAAGAGGCCCTATCTCTGATTGTACCTTTCTGGGCGCCAAGGGTGCAAGAGACGGAGCAGTATGCATTGCTGGTTCAGCGAATGTTTGCTAAGCGGATCCAGCATCCTTCCTGGGATCGTTACGCTGACAGAGAAAGCCTGTTTGGTCAAGCGCATGAAGTGATTGTAAATACTTTAGGGTTTGTTTGTGGAGATGATGGAGTTCTAAATGTTCAAATGCAGCATTGCAACATGTCACTCAACGGATCCGTGAAAGGCGAGATGAGAGCGCTACAACTGATCATCACAGGTGCGACATAGCCAACTGTCACCTCTGCAAAGTAGCTGCTCACTTATCTTTCTGAATCTGTAAATTAGGCTACCGAGCGGATTGTACGGTGTGTAGCTGACTACATATTTCGACTAGAAAGGAGGCTCTCTGTGAGGCGTCTTTGCAATTTCTGTTACGGTTCTGTAATGTCTGTTAATTGCTTAGGTCTAACACTGGACGAACCAAAAGCAAGACCACAAAGAGGAAACTGGTTGGCCTATGCGGCTGGCAACTTTTACTCCGAAAGTGCGATGCCATTTGAAGAAGCAAATTAACACAAGAAAGATATAAATATAATAGTATACGTATATAGATTAAAAAGAGCGATAGATATGCTGATAGCTCCAGCCTGTACTACTACAAGTCTAGATGGGAGCCGCAAACTCTTGAAACAGCTGATTACGCACACCCTTGAATCCACTCATCGTAGCCGCCGCGAACAAGCCTTTGTCACTTCTTGGAGCTTCTTCCTCGGCTTTGTTTTGTCATTTGCATGCTGCTTGTCATACCTATTTCGCTTTGTTGCAGGCATGGGTCTTGGTGTTTCTGCGCTGCTGCCTGGAAAAATAGAATGTAAGTCAAGCGTTTGCTTTCTATTGCAAGGCGCTGTATGCTACTTTGCTATTAATCCCTAGTCCCTGTTTTCTACCTTCCGCCAACTCGGCTGTAAATGCGCCCTCGATTTACCTTTCTTTGATTTTGGCTTCAGCGATGAACGCGTGGTTGCAACAGCTCGGAGAGACAGCAAAACCGCCAGGTTCGATAGAAGTTGTGCTTAAGTTGATTTGCCTCTTTTAGTTTTGACTCTGTCCCCATTTTGTGCTGACTTCGTGTCTACCTCTATCTTCCCCCTCCCAGATCCCTTCATTGCATTGGTTGCCGCTTCCCGTTGCGTCTGCCTCTCTATGTCTTTTGCCTTTGCGGACTTCTCAAATTTGCCACAATTGCTGAGCTCATTTCTTGTATCTGTTTCCATTTCCCCCCTTTTTCCCTTTATTCCGTCGTGTCATTAGATCCTCACTTCTCTCGCTCTATTTCTGCTTCTTTTTGCGATATCAGAACCACGCGTTGTCCTAGGGGAACCAGTCTTGTCTCTGTTTCAACGCTTGCGCCTGAGCTCCCCCCAGCATTTCCTTCTGTGTATGCGCTTGGCTGGCTGGCCAGAAGGCAAAACTACTTTAGATAACTCGGAGGAAGCCGCCTTGTTCCTTGAGACTGTACAATGTAAGCTCAGCAAACGGTTGAACATTTAATTTCGCTTCCATTTTTTAAGTCCAGGCGTGGCTCAAATAGACGAAACTCATGGTTCAGTGTTGCCTATACTCAATAAGACGGAGATGCAGCCGGATTACAGCCTTCTGTGTTTAAACGTACCTTGGTATATATGGCAATTTATTTTGCTACTCTCTTGTGTCTTGCGTCTACAGCTTCCCATATGATGCTTGACAAGGGCACCATGAGCTGGGTCGTTAACGCAGCTGGGGGCGAAGCACCCGAGATTAGCGAGCGGATAATTAGGAATTTCCCTAACATACCTCAGGCTACAAGACAAGTTATCATTACTACAACTTCAGAGGCACCAGGAGCGGCAGCAGCTGCAGCTAGAGTTAAACCGACGGCGCCTGAGGAAGAGAAGCCTAAAGAAGGCATATATGCTCCCATCAAACCTTCGGAAAGAGAAATCTACCACGAGATTCCAGCCATCAAAAAAGCACCAGGCGCCGTCGGCAGACCGGTCGCCTCAGTTGCTCCAGACGAGGCGGAGATCGCTGCGTCTATGCCCTGGGCTTTCTTCCAACAAGCCATCTCAAAAAGGCATGGTAAGTGCCTCAGTGCCATTTTTTTCTTTGAGTATTTGACATCGTTTCAATGTTCGCCTTTTCTCTTGTTTTTTTCGTTTAAATAAAAAGTAAACTCCTTCGTATCTCATGTTTGGTCTTACTTCGTCATACTGTTTTTGTTTCAGGCCCCTATCGCAGACTACCTTACTGGGTTGAAGTATCCGGTGAGTTTTAGACATGCGAACGCGTGCTGTTGCCTGCACCGACCCTGTCTAGCAAATGCCGTTTCTTCTCTTGCACAATGTGTTTTTAATCAGATTAGAAAGATCATGTGGAGTGTGCCTTTGTGTACTTCGCTTTCCTACTTTTTAGCTGATTGTCCCGTGAGGAGTTCATCTACCCTAGGAGGAAAGAGACTGGACTTGACGAAAGCAACAGACGATCTCCTGTTGCGTTTGGCGACAATGACTCCCATGCTTCTAAAAAAGTCCGGAGGCCGCAACGCTCCCCGATTTGCTGCAGTTTGCGGTGCCATGGGGGCCCTCTTGGCTGGCTGGCAGCAGGTTCTCGAATCCTCGATGGTGGAGAACCCCAGCGGGGTTCTGGCTCATGCAGCGCTCATTGAAAGAATTTCTAACCTCCACAAGTACTTTTTGTTCCCCTACAGCGATGTAGGAGAAGAGGCAAGGCAAGATGAAAAGGCCTACGAGCAGAAACGTAAAGTCATAAAAGCATTCGCCAAAAGTAAGGTCTTGGCTAATAAGCTAAGCAGCTAATGAAATTCTCGTTCAGCTGCCTATTTTGCATCAGCCCACTCACAAGGAACTTTAGTGGTTCGCGCGTGCAAGGACATGAAAAGTTTCGCAGGAAGAACAACAGAGCACATTGAACCGTAGAAGCAAATTAAGATCCGTACAATAATTATGAAGCTGTATTCGTTCATCTTCGGCCTGCTGCGCTTTGTTTCCTGCAGGTGCTGATACGAAGTACTGTTCCTCCCTCAGTACGCTCTAGTACCATTTTTGGGCCTGCATGTAGCTGAATGCACGCTATGCTCATCATTCAAAATTCAATTCATGTATTAAACTGCTGCTTGCTGCCTGCTTCGTGCTCACAGTGCTGTTTCTCTACTTTTATTCGCGATTTGTTTGCGCCAATTTTCTTGGACCACATATATTTTGTTGGGTGGTGCTGCTTGGCAGAATGATGCCGCTATTCGGTGTAGTTGGTGTTTGTAATCTGGCTTTTTATCAGCGCCTCACCCTTCCCGTCATTTGCTTTCCTGTTTTCTTTGATTTTCTTTTTGCCTCTCGCAGTTAATGCTGCCGGCGCTATTGCGACACAGTCCTCTGAGGCTCCCAGCGGCATGCGGCTCAAGGCGCGGTCTATGTACGGCGGCCTGGCGAACAGCCTGGGCGTTTCTCTATCTCTTCCTCTCGTGATCCAGGAGGGATTTAGAACTTATGTTCATTCTCAACTGGGCACAAAGAGCAAACGCAAACTGAAAAAAGGCCAAACTAATGTGCTAGGCCTCTGCGCCGTGCTGCACGTTTCCGGCACTCTCCACAGCTGCGCCAAAGGCCAGACACACGAACTGGCCCACAATTTGTTCCTGTCCAACGTTGCGGGCCAGACCTTGACGGAGCACCTTGTTCTTGCTGGGTCGAGCCTCATCAACAAACACCCAAAGCTTTTCATTCTCTGCAACAGAGATACTGGCGGCCCCATTTTCGGTGAGACAGACGCAAACAAGAGCTTGCTGCTGAGTCGTAGAGTCGTTGCTTCTTGTTTGCCTGCTTCTTTTCTGTGTTGCTGTGTGGGTCTTGCCTTTTAGTTTGCGTGTGCACTAGGTAACTGTGCCTCCTTTCTTGTCTCGCCATGCTTTAGTTTGCTCTTCTGTGCACTAGGTAACTGTGCCCCCTTTCTTGTCTCGCCATGCTTTATTACTTTGTCTTTTCTCTGTTTTGACTTTTGCTTGATCTAGCCTTTTGTTCGTTCTTATTGGCTTTTGTACTTTTGCGAGTTTCAACGTGTGCCTTTTCAGAATCGGTAATGGAGGAGCTGCTGGTTGCTTTGTCTCCCGTGTGGGAAGACGAGGACTTGTTTAAACAGTATATAGAGGCGAGCGCGACAGAGGTGGCTGCAGCAGCACCAGCAGCAGAAGCAGCACCAGGAACAGCAGCAGAACCTGTGCCACCAACGCCCAGCCCCAGAAGCAGCATCAGCTCCAGTAGCAGCAGCAGAAGCTCCGTCTCAACTGCTCCTGAACCTGAGCCGTTGTACGTGGAGGCCAACCCCAAGCTGTTTGAAACTGCAGAAGAAAAGAAAAGAAGACAAAGAAGATCTCAAGCCAGGGCTTCTAAGGCCAGTGTCCGTCAGGAACCTGCAGAAAAGCCGGCAGCGGAGGAGGGAGAAAGCGAGTACATTTCCTTGATGAAGGAGCTTTAAGTGTTTGTACTTTTTCCGTTCAGTTTTATGATCAGAAGCACCTTTGCTTTCTACAATTGTATTTATGAGGCGCCTCAGCCTGCATGCAAAAGCGTCGTTGGCTTGCCGGTCGTTAGCGCTATTTTGACTTTTATTTATTTTCTTTTCTTATTTTTAGTGAAGCTTCACATATTTTATATGCGGGTTGAGCTACGTGCTATTTTATTCACTAGATCAACACCGCCGATCTATTTATCTGTCTGCGCCCTGCGGGCGAAGGAGGAGAGACTCACAAACGACCATCCTCTATTATTGTTTTGTTGACCCTCACTAATTTGTTCACCTGTAGCTGAAGCCCTGTGATATATACTGCAGCTTTTGTAAGAGATTGTGAAAGAAGGGATTAATCAACATTCAAGAATTCCTGCTGTTCACATTTCTCCTCTTCATTCACACGCTTCGCTGTAAAGCAGCTCTACCCGCAACAGGATAATATTCAAAAACTAATATTTTGAGTCAAACTCAGGCTAGTTCGCTCTTTTCATTCTGGAAGACTTGAAAGAGGAAACAGGCTAAAAGTGGCTGCGAGACGCTGGCTGGCACGACAGCGACAAGACGGCAAGCATCATTAAGCAGGTCCCGTCCATTTTCTTTTATTTTTTCTCATTATTCTATTTAGTTTAATGAAATAAGAGCTTAAAATTCAACTTCTTTCGCCGGATTTCAGATCTAATTTGCCAGCGGAACGGCACGCTTTGGGGGGTGGTGGAACGCCGTCCATTGCCTGCGCATGTCGGCAGTCATGCTGAGAGTTTGAGTGCGCCCTTAGCCACGTCTTCTCGCCTAAAATTGAGTTAAACTTTTGTTTATATCCTTTTTTTCGAAAAATTGAAAGGAAAATCTGAAACATGAGGGTTCGACGCAGGAGAAGCGCGAGCAACCGAGTGAGTGCCTAGACCGCAGACTCGCCGCGGTTGCGGGCTGTGTTGCGTTGCTGCGGAGTCTGCGTTTGAAGAGGAAGAAGATGAATTAATTGCAATTATTAAAATTCAATTAATCCTTTTCTTCCACTTTTTCTGGAAAAGGCTGAGCCGCACGCCCGCCGCACGCGTGCCTCTCCGTCGTTCACCTTTGCTTTGTCTGAACACGACTTGCAAGCGCCTTGACGATGCAAAAAAGTAATTGAATTCTTCCAATTAAACTTGCGCAAATAAAAGCAACTTGACGCGCGAGACTTCTAGAGAATAGCGGCGGCCCGTCTCCGTCTTCTCTCTGCATTCAACAGATTCGGCAGAGTTCAATTCCTGTTGCCGAGACTCAGCCTCTCTTCGCGCGGCCCAGACTCGCAGCCCCCGAAGCCAAGTGCCCCTTCAGAATCAAACCTCCAAACCCTAAACCCTAAACCCTAAACCCTGAAAGGAACAAACCCAGAGGGCACCGCCGCCCCCAGCCAAAATGGGCGTCGGCAGCCTCATGCAGACTTGGGGCTTTGCCTCGCCTGCATGCGCCGTTGCCTTCGACAACTACACATTCACAGGGCCCTGCGTCAGGGAGGTAACCCTAAACCCTAAACCCTAAACCCTAAACCCTAGGCAGGCTCAGCTGCACTGTCCCGTTGTTTCTGCCTTCCCGTAAACCTCCCAGTGGTCCCTCGAATGGCGACTCAGCGTTTTAGAATCAGCGATTAGGGTTTTGGAAGGGTTTAGGGTTTGCAGAGTGCAGACAGCCACCGGCAGCTCCCAAGGCTTGAGCGGCTTTGGGGGGACCGAGGGTCTAGGGTTTAGGGTTTAGGGTTTGGGGTGTACGTACAGTCCATCGGCCTAATCACTAATGTTCTCATTCTTACGGGGGCCCTCGTTGTCAGAGTCCCGCAGCTGTTGAAAGTTTGGTCGGCGAGAAGTATTACTGGCATATCTTATGCCACGGTGGTTTCTGAAGTGAGCTCCAAACCCTAAACCCTAAACCCTAAACCCTAGACCCTGCCTCTGTTGCGCCGCGTCAAGCTCTGCGTTGGAACACGCCTGCTGCGGGGCCACGAGCGGGGGTTTAGGGTGTCAGCAGTTGAGGCCTAGGGTTTAGGGTTTGGCTCGCGCTGGGTCTCAGGTTTTCGCTGCAGAACTAGTTGTAGGGTATAATCTTGTTCTTAAACACCCTTTTGCTACTTGGGGAGAGGCTCTGTTCATCGGTGAGGAGGGTTTAGGGTTTAGGGTTTAGGGTTTAGGGTTTATCGAGCCTGGGAGCTCAGCTGCAGCAGCAACTTCGGGGTATCGCGAGTGCTTCTTCCCCTTTTCGCAGCAGGCCGCGTGCCTTCCACTTGAGTCAGCCTTTTATTCTAAGGTTTAGGGTTTAGGGTTTAGGGTTTAGGGTTTAGGGTTTAGTAGGGTTTCGCTTCTGGGGTCCGGTGCAGCGCCTGCGTGTTTGGATCTAGTCGCGTTGCTGATCCGTCAGCAAACGCTGTCGAAATGCAGAAATTGGTTATCATTAATGAATTATTGATAATTAATTAATTAATTAATTAATTAATTATTAATTAGTTAATTAATTAATTATTTAATTGGTCTTTTTGCACATTGTTTGTTCGTCTGGACAGGCATTCAGAACACGCTGCTGCTGCACATGTACTGGACGTACACCCCAGGCAGCCGCCGCCGCCGCCGCTTCGGCCTTTTGGCAATTTCACTTTTGGGATTTCTTTTTTGGTCTCTTTATAATAACTATTTGCCGCAGACGCTCAGCAAAAGCGTCGTCAACTTCGCAGGGCTGGTCCCTGTGCCGCTCTGTGCGTTTAAATGCATGCATGCATGCATGCATTCTGCATGCACGCATGTTGCATGCGTTCGTGCTGTATTTTCTATATATTTGTATACTAAGGCATATATGTATTAGTGCATATATATGTATATAATATATATATGTATATATATCGTTCTGCATGCACGCACATTGCATGCGTTCGTGCTGTATATTCTATATATTTGTATAGTAAGGCACATATGTATTAGTGCATAAAGGTAGATAATATATAATATATATATACATATATATATATATACTTAAGGTTGAGTTGACTTACATTTGCCGCACAGATGCATGCACTCGTGCACATTTGCATAAAAGCAGCAACAAAATGTGTATATGCATTCACAGATACATTCGGTGTCTATTTGCATGCGAATACAGATTCTTGTAGCAGCAGCAGCAAATTCAGGTTCTTGTAGTAGCAGCAGCAGCAGCAGCAGCAGCAGCAGCAAATATGGGTTCTTGCAATAGCAGCAGCAGCAGCAGCAGCAAATTTAGGTTCTTGCAGTAGCAGCAGCAGCAGTAAATTCGGGTTCTTGTAGAAGCAGCAGCAGCAACAGATTCTGCACATGCAAAGATGCCAAATAAATGTGCATTTGCATGCGCCTTTCACCGAGTGTATGGACACTCAAGGTGCACCTACAGTGTATGTACACACTCAAAGCAGTTATCTATCGGTGCAGCTGTTCGCTGATAAATATCTTTATATCTATAATTATATTACATATATATATATATATATTTATGTTGTTTGCAAATAAATATCTGTATCTGCAAATGTATATTTGCATACACATTTATATATATTTATGCTGTTTGCTGATAAGTATCTGTATATGTGTAAATATATATTTAAATATGTATTTGTATGTACATTTGTGAATGCGTGTGCGCATATAAGAAAAATGTATAAATATACATAAAACATATTTATATTAAATAATAAACATATATATTATATATATGTTATATATATATATACATATTATGTATATTATATATATATATATTTATTATATATATATATTATATATATATATATATATATATATATATATACATTCCTGCATGCGTCTGTATAGCCATAAATGGTATATGAGGAACTGTAGATTCCAGTGGCCCTTATGCATCCGCTTGAATTGCAGTCTTTGAAAATATTTGCAAAATATTTTCAACTTTTATTTTTGTGTCTTCCAGCGCATGCATGCAAATATTTGCAACTTCTTTTATTTGTGTCTTCCAGCGCATGCATGCGCAGTGGGGCTTGGAATGTCTTGAATTATTTTTCGGGTTTTTTTTTCTTTCTTTTTGTCTGACTCTCATCTCCCCTATGCGCGGCCGTCGCTCCCCGTGCTGCTGCTGCTGCTGCAGCTGTTGCTGCTGCAGCCGCAGCAGCAGCAGCTGCTGCTGCTGCAGCTGCTGCTGCTGCTGCAGGGCTTGCTGGGCTGTGTGTGCTGCGCTGCAGTGATATTTTCGCGGCTTCCCCAGGCCTTTTTGAATTACAAAAATAAACACACAGGTCACCTTTCGCTGATCTCTTCTTCTTTGGCCCTCGTGGGCTCCGCGGCCAGGCTGGGCACTGTGCTGCAGCAGCTCAAGGATTCCCGCGTTCTGGTCTGCTGCTGCTGCTGCTGCTGCTGCTGCTGCGGCGCTTGCTGATGCTCGTGCTGCTGCTGATGCTGCTTTTGCTGACGCCCGTGCTGCTGCTGCTGGTGCTGCTTTGTTGGCGCTCGTGCTGCTGCTGCTGTTGCTGAGGCTCGTGCTTCTTTTTGCTGACGCTGGACTGCTGCTGCTGTTGCTGATGTCGGCGTTGCTGCTGCTGCTGCTCTTGCTGCTATTGGTGGTGCCCCCGTTGCTGTTACTGCCCCTTGTGCTGCTGCGGCGGCTGCAGTGTGTGCGATTCCTGCTGCACTGCAAGGGGGCCACACAGCTAGCTAGCTATCTAGCTATGTAGCTAGCTAGCTAGCTAGCCAGCTATCTAGCTAGCTATCTAGTTTACTAGCTAGCCAGCTAGCTAGCTGGAGGGCCAGCAGCTAGCTAAAAGTTAGTTTTGTGTGCCTCCGTGGGTATTTGCAGTTTACGAATCTGGTCGCGCTGTCCCTCAACTTTGTACCGACACTTCAAGTGAGCGTCCAGGCAGCAGCAGCAACAGCAGCAGCAGCAGCAGCAGCAGCTGCAGCTGCAGCAGCAGCAGCGACAGCGAGAGCAGCAGTTGTTGTCTGTGCGTTTTGCAGATTTTGACATACTGGGCGAACACAAATGAAGTATTGCGAAAAGAAAAAGAAAGGAGGGAAAACTAGAGCAGCAGCGGGAGTCAGTCCGTTTGCTGCTGCTGGAGCTGCTGCTGCTGCTGCTGCAGCTGCTGCTGGTCTTGCTGCTGCTGCTGCTGCTGCATCTGACGCTTGACGCGAAGATACTGCGCCGGAGTCGGGGGCTCTTCACAAAACGCCAGCAGCGGGGCCGTTGCTGCTGCTGCAGTTGAGGCCAGAGTGGCTTCGGAAGCAGAAAGGGCCCGAATGACGTCGGCGTACAGCCGCAGCAAGAACTGCAGCAGCAGCAGCAGCAGCAGCAGCAGCAGCAGCAGCAGCAGCAGCAGCAGCAGCGGCAGAAACGGGGGCGGCATTGCTTGCACAGCACAACTCGAGCGAAAACTAATTTTTTTCGCCATCATTTTTTGCTGCTGCTGCCAGAATCTACACTTGCTGCTGTTTCTGCAACTGCATTTGCTGCTGCTGCAGCTGCTGAAAGAATCTGCACTTACTGCTGCTGCTACTACAAGGATCTAAATTTCCTGCTGCTGCAAGAATCTGTACTTGCTGCTGCTGCTGCAGCAGGAACCTAAATTTGCTGCTGCTGCTGCAGTAGCTTACAAGAACAATCCATTCGGCCAGCCAGTGGGGCTCGTGCTGCAGAATGTGGTGCCGCAAAACCAACATGCACACCCTCCGCCTCTGCTGCTGCTGCTGCTGCTGCTGCTGCTGCTGCTGCTGCTGCGGTTCTTGCTGCGGCTCGGCGCCCTCTGCAGCTGCGTCAGCGCACAGAATGTTGAAGTGCCAATTTAGTTCGTCTCTTCTTCGCTGCCGCTGCTGCAGCAGCTGCAGCAGCAGGAAGTCGCAGCAAGCAGCAGGCCAGCAGCTGAAGCCGGACACCCACCGCACCTCAGCAGACACCTGAGCAGCAGCAACAGCAGCAGCAGCAGCAGCAGCAAGAGTAGCAGCAGCAGCAGCAACCGCAGCAGCAGCGACACCAACACGGCAGCTTTGAGTGCAGCAAGGACAGCAAGCAAAACCAGCAGCAGCTGTGTTGAAGACAGATGAGCGCGCAGCAGCAGCTGCAGCTGATACTGCTGTTGCTGCCGCTGCATCAGCAGCAGCAGCAGCAGCAGCTGCTGCTGCTGCCCTTTAGCTTACATAAAGAAAGTCTGGACCCCTTCGCACGCTGCAGCGCATCTCTCTCGGCAGTCCAGCTGGGGACTCCAGCAGATACGTCATTTCTGCTGCTGCTGCTGCTGCTGCTACCGGAGGTTCCTTCTGCTGCTGCTGCTGCTGCTGCTGCTGTCGCTGCTCTCTAGAGTGAGCTGCTGTTTGCTGCTGCGAAGGACTGCAGTTTTCTGGCTGCTGGGACGAGGACATGGGGGATTCCGTGGCCTCACACTGGTCTTGCTGCTGCTGTTGCCGCTGCTGCTGCTGCTGCTGCTGCTGCTGCATTTGCTCCTGCGGGAGCAGTTCTTGCTGCTGCTGCTGCGCCTCCTCATCTCTAGGCGATCGTTTACAAACGACTTCGTGCGCTAGACGCTGCTGCGTAGCATCGAGTCCTTGCTGCTGCTGCTGCTGCTGCTGCTGCTGCTGCTGCTGCTGCTGCTGCTGCTGGCCTCTGTTGACAGCAGCGGGTTCCTCCTGCTTCTTTTGGCGCTGCTGCTGATCTGCAGTGGCAGCAGGTTGCTGCTGCTGCTCCTTTAAGCTGCGCAGGTGCTGCAGCAGAAAGCCACGAAAGGAATCGCTGAGGAAACACAACAGCAAGCTAATCCACCACCAGCTGCAGCAGCAGCTGCAGCAGCAGCTGCAGCAGCAGCTGCGCAAATGAAGCAGCGAGTGTGACGGCAGGTGCAGCAGCAGCTGAAGCAGCAGCTGAAGCAGCAGCTGCAGCTGAAGCAGCAGTTAGCAGCACGCAGTGCAGCAGTCCACTTCCAGGAATAGAAGCGCTCACAGCAGCAACAGCAAGTGGAGCAGCAGCAGCAGCAGCAGCAGCAGTAGCAGCAGCAGCAGCAGCAGCAGTTGACGGTGCCTTACTAAAAGAAAAGCTCCTTCTTAGGCCAACTGTGGAGGAGGGGCTTTAGTGCTGCTGCTGTTGCTGCATCCCTTTGCAGCCAGAAGGGCGTCTGCTGCTGCTGCTCCTTTCGTTGCTGCTGTTCCTCTTGCTCCTGCTGCAGCCTTTGCTGCTGCTGCTGCCTCTGCTCTTGCTGCCGCTGTTGCCCTTCCTGCTTCTGTTGCTCCTGTTGTTGCTGTTGCTCTTGCTGCTGCTGTTGCTCTTGCTCCTGCTGTTGCTGCTGTTGCTCTCGCTGCGGCTGTTGCTGCTGCTGTTGCTGTTGCTGCTGCTGTTGCTGTTGCTGCTGCTGTTGCTGTTGCTGCTGCTGTTGCTGTTGCCGCTGCTGTTGCTCTTGCTGCCGCTGCTGTTGCTCTTGCTTCTGCTGCTGTTGCTGCTGCTGTTGCTCTTGCTGCTGCTGTTGCTCTTGCTGCAGCTGTTGCTGCTGCTGTTGCTCTTGCTGCTGCTGTTGCTCTTGCTGCTGCTGCTGCTGCTGCTCTCCGCTTGTGGTACCCTGCTGCAACTCAGAGGCAGACTGCCCTGGTTCCTCGCATAGGAGGGGCCCCATGAGGCCCCTGGTGGGCAGCTCTTGCTGCAGTCACCCTTGGTTCGAGCGCAGCAGCAGCAGCAGCAGCAGCAGCAGCAGCAGCAGCAGCAGAGGGAACTAGTTTCACTTGATGCGCTGCTTCACAGCAAACGAGGTGTCAGAAAATTGGGCAAAGTATGCTAAGCTGCCATTGCTGTAGAGCCTTTCCTCTTGCTGCTGCTGCTGCTGCTGCCGACTCAGGCAGCAGCAGCAACACCAGCAGCAGCAGCAGCAGCGCGACCTTTTCTTTTCAAGTGAATTCTTTTGACGCCAATTCGATTTAAGAGGAAATAAAAAAGGAAAACCCCACGGAGGGCCCCGCCCCTCCTCAGGGGCCCCAGGGGGGCCCCTCTTGCAACACAACGACCCCCCTGGGGGGCCCCCCAGGGGCCCCCATGCACTTGCTGCTGCTTCCGGTGTCTTATTAAATAAAATGAAAACAAAAAAAGTCTGGAAGGTCAGGGGTTAGAGCCTGAGGTGTATGTACACCGCAGGGTAGAAGCTGCTGCGCTGCGTAGAGGGGGGCCCCCAGAGGGCCCCCTAGAGAGAATGGGGCACTGGGACGAAGTGCAGCAGCAGCAGCTGGAGCAGCAGCAAGAAAAGAAGAAGCTGCTGCAGCAGCTGCATGACCGGCAGCAGCAGCAGCCGCCTCCGGGCCAGCAGCAGCAGCAGCCAGCGCAGCAGCAGCAGCCGCAGGATGCAGCAGCGCAGCAGCCTGCCAAGCTGCCTTCTGTCCCCTACGCCTGCAGCAGCAGCAGCAGCAGCAGCAGAAGCTTCTTTGAGTGGCTGAAGGCCAACGACGACGACCAGCTCTGGCGCTGCGCCTGGGGAGCCCAGGCAAGCAGCAGCAGCAGCAGCAGCAGCAGCAGCAGCAGCAGCAGCCCAATTCTTGTTATAGACGCGGGCTCTCACTGCATTAGGGTTTCGCGTGCTGAGAGGGGCCCCGAGGTCAGCCACGGGGCCCCACATGGCCTGGGGCCCCCCAGTAGCCCTGCTGCTGCTGCTGCTGCTGCTGCTGCTGCTGCTGTTGCTGCTGCTGCTGCTGCACTGGCTCGCAGCAAATGGGGAGTGTCTATACACCCCGTTTTCTGTTCCCGTAAATGCATGCATCTGCATGCGTTTGAAGCCGCAAAGGCCCCCCTTAATATAAATAAATATAAAATATATAAATGAATAAACATTTTATTTTATTTCAAAATAAAAATTAAAAAAATCCAATTTATAAATCTCTGCTGCACAAAAAGCAAAAGCTGCTGCTGCAGCAGTTTGCCCGCAGAAAAGCCGCGGGCCAATTTGAATAAATAAATAAATAAAATAAATAATTTAGATAATTGAAGACACAAATAATTTAAATAATTTAATTCGAACAAATAAATAAATAAAAATAAATAATTTAAATAATAAATAAATAAATAATTCAAATAGTTGAAAACATAAATAATCCAAATAATAAATTTAAATGAATAATTAAAAATAAATAGAAATTAATTTTTAGATAAATGCATGCATGCGAATAACTAATGCGATTAAATAAAAGTATTTGAAAAAATATATGTATATATATATATATATATATATATGCAGGAGTCGTTAGGCCAGCGAGAGCTGCTGCTGCTGCTGCTGCTGCTGCTGCTGCTGCTGCTGCTGCTGCTGCTTTGGTTTGTGGGGTTCGTTTGCGGCTCTGAGCTGTACGTACACCGCAGCCCTGTGCTTTTCAGGGAGAAGAGCAGAGCCTCATTTTGCCCCAAGTGGTCAGGAGGCCCTGGGGTAACTAGCACACTGCTGCTGCTGCTGCTGCTGTTGCTGCTGCTGCAGTTGTGTCTGCTGCTGCTGCTGTTGCTGCTGCTGTGAGGGTCTTTGACTCTGCCGCTATACTGCGTATAGGGGGTATCTATGCAGTGCCAACTTCCGCAGCTGCTGCTGCAGCGGCTGCTGCCGCTGCCACATCCTTTGTATTTGCTGCTCTTACTACTATTACTACTACTGCTGCTGTTGCTGCTGCTGCTGCTGCTGCTGCTGCTGCAGAAGTTTGCGGGGACGGCTATTTGCCTGGCTTTAGAGGGACAGTCACGAACTGGACTCTTTATGAAGATGCCCTTCTTGATGTACTCACAGCACCCGACTCAGGGTAAGCAGCAGCAGCACTAGTAGCAGCAGCACTGAGAGTATCTGATGTTCCCGCTGAAGCGGATACTGTTGCTGCTGCTACGACTGCGGCAGATGCTTCTTGTCTTGTTGCTGCTGCTGCTTTTGCTGCTGTGGCGCTGCTGGGGGTGCTGCAGCAGCAGCAGCTGCTGCTGCATGCGGGTTTAATTCCAGCGCAGCCTCATCAGCAGCAGCTGCCCCCGTTCCTCACCTCGCACAACCCCCGTGCTGCCGCTGCTGCCACTGCCGCTGCCACTGCTGCTGCTGCTGCTGCTGCTGCTGCTGCTGCTGCTGCTGCTGCTGCAGGGTGCACCCGGAGACTGTGGGGGGCCGCTTCTTGTGGTGCGAAAGCAGCTTAAGGTCTCCAGAGCACTTCGGCCGCCTTGGGGAGATTTGCTTCGAGCTGCTGGAGGCGGAAAGGTTCCTTTCAGTGGACAAGGTAGGCTGCTGCTGCTGCTGCTGCTGCTGCTGCTGCTGCTGCTAGTGGTGCTGCAGGTGCTGCGGCAGCTGATGCTGCTGCAGCTGGTGCTGTCCCCGCCACTGCTTTTGCTGCCGTTGTTGCTGTGCTTGCTGCTGCTGTTGCTGCTGCTGCTGCCGCTGCTGCTACTGCTGCTAATGCGGCTCCTGCTGATGCTGCTACTGCTGTTGCTGCTGCCATTACTGTCGCTGCTTCTGTAGTACTACTCTTGCCGCCGCTGCTCCTGCTGCTGCTGCTGCTGCTGCTGCTGCTGCACTTCTTTTGGTGCATGTGCGTTTCTCAGGACACACTTTCGGCTTTGGCGATAAGCGGCTGCTTGCTGAGTCCCGCTGAACTGTCTGCGGACCTGGGAGACAGCAGCAGCAGCAGCAGCAGCAGCAGCAGCAGCAGCAGCAGCAGCGCGCTGCAGGTGCTGCGCTGCATGCAGCACTTCTCGGGACTCATTGTGGACTTGGGCGCTTCTCTCATTCGCATAACTCCCATTTTGTCTGGACAAGCTTTGGGCTGTTTGGCTGTGGAGTTGCCGCTGGGGGGCAGAGACATAGACTCTTTTCTCTGCAGCAGCTTGCTGCAGCAGCAGCAGCAGCAGCAGCAGCAGCAGAGGCAGCAGGAGCTGAAGCAGCCAGTCAAAGTCGACTTCAGGCCTTGCTACTGCGCAATGGTGGGACGCCTCACAGCCTGAGTTCCTTTGCAGCAGCAGCAGCAGCACCAGCAGCACCAGCAGCACATGCGTTCTTTCCCGGCAGCAGCTGCTGCTGCGTTGCTGCTGCTGCTGCTGCTGCTGCTGCAGGCTGCAGCGCGCTCGGTAAAGGAACAAGTCGTCTGCTGCGCCACAGAGAGAGGGCTCGTTTTTGCTGCGGAAACATCTCTGGCTAGGAAAAACCCCTGCAGTGTACGTACACCTCGAGGCTGCAGCCGCTGCAGCAGCAGCAGCAGCAGCAGCTTCTGCAGCAGCAGCTGGCCGGGCGCAGACTACAACAGCAACACGAAGAAGCGCCGCTGCGAGGAGGGACTCTGGGAAGCCGCTGAGGACACACATGTGAAGCACCAGCAGCAGCAGCAGCAGCAGCAGCAGCAGCAGCAGCTCGAGACTCAGTGGCTGGTTGGTGACTGTCGCGTTGCTGCTGCCGAGCTTCTGTTTGACGCAAAGACCCTCACAGAGTACAGACACAGCCGGGTGAGGCCTGCTGCCATTTTTGCTGCGGCCTTGCTGCTGCTGCTTTGCTGCTGCTGCTCCGTTGCTGGTGCTGCTCCTTTGTTGCTGCTGCACCTTTGCTGCCGCTGCTGCTGCTGCCGCTGCTGCTCCTCTGCTGCCGTCGCTGCTGCTGTTGCTGCTGCTGCTACTTCTGCTGCTGCCCCTTTGCTGCTGCTGCTCCTTTGCTGCTGCTGCTCCTTTGCTGCTGCTGCTGCTGCAAGCTACGAATTGGCGGGTTTGCTGCGCTGCTGCAGGCCGAGGCGGAGCCCCTGAGCGCCCTCCATTTGCTGCCGCTGCAGACAGCCGTGGCAGCTGTGGTGGAGAAGTGCCCCATAGACACTCGAAAGTGATTTTTGTCTTTTTATCCCCTAGAACCTGCTGCTGCTGCTGCTGCTGCTGCTGCTGTTGCTGCTGCTGCTGCTGCTGTTGCTGCTGCTGCTGCCGTTGTTGCCTTGGTGCGTTTGCCCCGCTTCTGCCTGCTGTGGCTTCATCGTCCTTTCTGATCAAGCTCTTGCTGCTGCTGTTGCTGCTGCTGCTGCTGCTGCTGCTGCAGGTGTTTGCTGCAAAATGTTTTCGTTGTGGGGGGCACGTCACTCATACCCGGAGTGGCGGTTCGCCTTCAGACGGAGCTTAGGGTGAGCTGCTGCTGCTGCTGCTGCTGCTGCTGCTGCTGCTGCTTTGCTGCTGCTGCTGCTGCTACTTCTGTCGCTACTGCCTGTGCACAGAGGCATCATCTACCAAGAGGCTGAGGTGCTGCATCTGCTGCTTCTGGGGCCAACGCAACTTGCTGCTGCAGTCGCCGCTGCCGCGCGATGATGCGCATAAAGTAGCGATTGCGGCTGCCTCTGCTGCCGTTGCTGCTGCTGCTGCTGCTGCTGCTGCTGCGGCTGCTGCTGTTGCTGACTCGAGCAGTTTCGGCTGCCGCAGCCCCGGTGACTGCTTGGCTCTGCTGTCGCTCTGCTCTTACTGCTGAGGTCTGCTGCTGCTGCTGCTGCTGCTGCCACACGAACCACTAGGAGCTGCATGGGGCTGCTGCTGCAGCACTTCGTTTTATTTGATTGACCCACCTCCCCCGGCAGCAGCAGCAGCTGCACTGCCAAGTCTTGCTGCTGCTGTTTCAGCTATTGCTGCTACAACTGTTGCTGCCGCCACTGTAACTGTGCTGCTGCTGCTGCTGCTGCTGCAGGAGCTGTACCGATACCGCAAAGCACATGCTTCCTTCCTTCCCCGTGTGCATGTGCTGCCTCACCCGGAGCTGCAGCAGTAAGTTTGTTTTCTTTTATTTCATTTCTGTTTGATGCATTTCTCTCTTTCTTCCATTATTTAATTTTTTATTTTTCTCGACCAGCACATTCAGTATTCAGTTTGTTTGCTGCCTGCCGTCTGTTTCCATCCTGAGCGCTTTTGAGGCAGCAGCAGCAGCTGCTGCTGCTGCTGCTGCAGCTGCTGTGTGGACTGCAGAAGAAGAAAAGAAGGCAGCAGCAGCCAAGCAGCAGCAACAAGTGCACGAGCTGCAGAAGAAGCAACGGCAGCAGCAGTCACGTAGCAGCAGCAGCAGCAGCAGCAGCAGCAATAGCAGCTACAGCAGCAGCAACAGCAGCAGCAACAGCAGCAGCTGCACTGTGTGTGCGTGCAGTCATGCGGCCGTCTGTGGGGGCTTTCGGTTTGGTGTCCAGCACCACTACGATCTGAATAACATGACGAGGGAGCAGGTGAGCAGCAGCAACACAGCAGCAACGCAGCAGCAACACAGCAGCAACGCAGCAGCAACACAGCAGCAACGCAGCAGCAACACAGCAGCAACGCAGCAGCAGCACCAGCAGCAGCAAGGCGGCAGCAAGGCAGCAGCAAGGCAGCAGTTGAAGCACAGCACTAGTGGCTCATTTCGAGGCAGCGCCGTTAAGGTGCCGTTTATACTGCTGCTACTGCTGCTAACTCTGCTGCTGCTGCTGCTAACGCTGCTGCTGCTAATGCTGCTGCTGCTGCTGCTAACGCTGCTGCTGCTGCTTTGCGCGCAGTACTATGAGAACGGACCTTCTCTGCTGGAGAGCTTTAGCTGTCGCGGGCGCCTCCGCTAAAGCTTAAAGCACACCCGAACGGCTGCTGCAGCATACTGCAGCAAACTGCAACATACTGCAGCAAGCTGCAGCAAGCTGCAGCAAGCTGCAGCAAGCTGCAGCAAGCTGCCGCAAACTGCAGCAAACTGCAACAAACTGCAGCTTGCTGCAGCAAGCTGCAGCACGCTGCCGCAAACTGCTGCAAGTTACAGCAGGCTGCAGCAGGCTGCAGCAGACTACATCAGGCTGCAGCAAACTGCAGCAGCATTCTGCGGCATTCTGCAGCAGATTGCAGTGCACAGACTGCAGCAAACTGCAGCTGCAGCAGACTGCAGCAGGCTGCAGCAGACTATGGTGCACAGACTGCAGCAGACTTCTGTGAATCTCTGACACTCCAAGTCCACTTCATTGAGTTTTCATGCTGCGCGGCTTGCAGCATTTCATAAAGGCGCAGCAGCAGCAGCAGCAGGTTCTGCTGCTGCCTCAGCATAGCTGCAGCAGCAGGAACAGGAGCAGCTTCCACAGGTTGCCACAACTGAGAAGTGCTTAGATGAGAAGCAGCAACTTTGGGCAGTAACATCTGCAACAGTAGCTGCTGCTGCTGCTGCTGCTGCTGCTGCTGCTGAAGCAGCTTCTGCTCTGATGCTACTTGAGTGTCATCGCCTCATTACGTGGATGCAACAGTGCAGCCAAGTGCTGCTGCAGCAGCTGCTGCTGGTGCAGTGGACGCTGCTGCAGCAGCTGCTGCAGCGGCAGCAGCAGCTGCTGCTGCTGCTACCGCTGCTGCTGAGCTTCAGAATTGAAAAGGGCCCTCTGATTGGCCGCTGCAGAAGTCCGTGCTGCGTCAGCACTGCTGCTGCTCCCCTGAAGAGAAGCTGCTGCTCCCTTTGCTGTAGATCTCAATGTTTTAGAAAAGAGATGAAGTTGCTGCTGCTGCAGGGAATATTGGAGCAGCAGAAGACGCGGTGTACGTACACCCGCGGGGCTGATGTGGTCTACGCAGTTGGGTTTGTGGCAGTGGCAGCAGCAGCAGCCACAACAGCAGCAGCAAAAGCAGCAGCAGCAACATGAGCAGTTCAGCAGCATCAAAGCAACAGCAGCACCAGCGGCAGTAGCAGCAACAACAGCAGTTGCAGCAGCATCAGTAGCAACAGCAGCAGCAACAACAATAGAAGCAGCAGCAACAACAAAAGCAACAGCAGCACCAGAAGCACGAGCAGCAACAGAGCAGCAGCAGCCACTGCAGCAGCACGGGGGCTGGGCTGCAGGCGAGTTTTTTTCAACTAAAAACGAAGGCAAGTAAAGACAAAGACAGAAGCAGCAGGCAGACACATGGGGGGACCTAAGGGGCCTCCATTTTTCTTATAGATTTCGAATTAATAGATCTGGAATGTTCATTAAATCGCGGGCATTTTAGAGGCAATCTAAAACCTGTGTTCCTTTACTTTTATTACTTTCTTTAAACAACATTTAATTAAAGATTTGACGAAAATATGCTGCGGAAGTAAAGTACGCTGCAGGTTTTCAGGTGTATGCACACCTAATTTCCGCCGCAAGGCAGGCCAAATTCAGCAGAAAATGCCCCTTTTAGAATTTATTTGTTGAAGAATATGTTTTAAAGTTTATTTGTTCATAAAAAGATAAATTAATTTGGCAAATTGCTTATGCAAACTTGAAAAGCAACAGCAACCGTCGCGTTAGTAGTCCAGGGGTAGGATGCAACCCTCCCAAGGTTGCGACCCGGGTTCGAGTCCCGGCTGACGCACTTCTCTTTTTCCTTCAAACTGGCGATTTAAATCTGTTTTTAGCCTTTTAATGCATTTATAATCTATTTATAAGTGAAAAGGAAAAATAATTTGAAAGAAAAACCCATTTTTTCATTGCACACAGGGCTGCTGTCGGCTGTGGGGCGGCGGGCGCTGCGGCTTCGCTGCTGCTGCGCAGCACCCGTAGAAGCCTCTTTGGAAAATCCTCGAGACTAAAAAATAAGTGGAAAGAATTAAAAGGAAAAATAAAATAGCAGTTTGGATTTAGTTGCTGCTGCAGTGGCGGCGCTGCGCTCAGCTGCTGCGCTGCTGGCTGAGAGCCTTTGGCTGTGTGCACGCAGCCGAGTGCCTGCTGCACCTGCAGCGTGAGGCTGCAGCAGCAGCAGCAGCAGCAGCAGCAGCAGGCCGCAGGGGGGGCTGCAGAAGCCCCGAAGCAGAACTAAAGAGGCCCCGAGAAAGCCACTTCTGCAGATCAGCAGCAAACTAGTTTCCACCATGCCCCTAGACAGAGCCACAGCCGCTTACTGCGCGCGGGCCATCTCGGAGTTGAAGGCCACCCGAGAGGGCTCCCTGAGCAGGACTGAGCTGAAGAAGCTGCTGCAGGGTCAGGCCGCAAGCAGCAGCAGCAGCAGCAGCAGCAGCTGCTGCTGCTGCTGCAGCTGCAGCAGAGGCAGCCGTGAAACACTAGCGGCAGTAGAAGCTGCAGCGACAACAGTAGCAGCTGCAGCAGCAGCGGCTTTAGGAAAAGTAGATTAGGTAGCTGTAGCGGCAGCAGCGGGAGCAACGCAGTAGCAGCAACTGTAGCTGCAGCAGCAGCAGCAGCACTGCAGCAGCAGCAGCAGCTAGTAGTTTACTATTTTAAGATGAAATACGCTCACAGAAGCAGCAGGTTGCTGCTGCTGTGTCTCTTCCCCGTGCCTTTTGCTGCAGCTTTTATCCCCTGCTGCTGCAGCCTGTGAAAGGCCACTGCCTTCGTTGCTTGCTCGCTGCAGCTGCTGCAAAACCCTAAACCCTAAACCCTAAAACAGCGTATACTGTGTGGTCCGCAGAAATACTGGGGGCCAGTGCCACCGACGATCTTATCTTTTCCCTCATGGCCGAAATTGAGCAGGACTGCACGGGCCAAATCGGTGGGCTAAACCCTAAACCCTAAACCCTAAACCCTAAACCCCAAACCCTAAACCCCAAACCCTGAACCCTCAAAACTCCTCTTCTCTGCAACGCAGAGTTCTCGGAGATTCTTCGAGTCTTTGAACGCCAAGCCGCGGAAGTTTACGACGAAGATGAAGTCCAAGATATGAGTGAGAAGCAGCAGCAGCAACAGCAGCAGCAGCAACAGCAGCAGCAGCAACAGCAGCAGCTGCAGCAGCAGGAGCCACTTCAATTGCTTTTGCCTTTGCTCAGCTAATGTATGGGTCGCTCTGGGAGGCTCTGCGAGCTGTCTTGACCAGCCCATACCCTTCCGTAGGCCTGTTGCTGCTGCTGCTGCTGTTGCTGCTGCTGCTGCTGTTGCTGCTGCTTTTGTTGCTGTTGCTGTTGCCGCTGCTACTGCTTCAACAAGATAAACTGCTGCTGCTGCTATGTCTGGTGTTGCTGTAGCACCAAAGCTGCCGCTGCTGCTGCTCTTCCGGTTGCTGCCCTTGCTGCTGCAGCAGCAGGAAACGCATTGCTGCTACTGTTGCTGTTCCTGCTGCTGCCCTTGCCGCAGCAGCAGCAGGAACACCTGCCCTTGCTGCTGCAGCAGCGGGAACAGCTGCCGCTGCTGCTGCTGCTGCTGCAGCTGCTGCTAGGTAGCAGTGTCTGAGTGGGCTTTGCTGCAGAAAAGCTGCTGAAGGCTTTCAAAGAAAACTTCAACATGGCTGTAGACGAAGAGGTCAGTGGGCCCCAGGGGGCCCCCAAAGTGACCCTAAGGGGCCCCAGGGGGCCCTTAAGATGCCCCTAAGGGCCCCCAGGGGGCCCCCAAAGTGACCCTAAGGGGCCCCAGGGGGCCCTTAAGATGCCCCTAAGGGGCCCCAGGGGGCCCTTAAGATGCCCCTAAGGGGCCCCAGGGGGCCCCCAAAGTGCCCCTAAGGGGCCCCGGGGGGCCCCCAAAGTGCCCCTAATAAGCCCCTGGGGGCCCCTGAGTGCCCCCCATAAGCCCCGAGGGGCCCCCAAAGAAGCCCCAAGGGGCCCCCAATATGCCTTTCTTGAGGGGCCCTTTTAAAGAGTCTCAAAAGATCCATTTTAAGCCTTTAAAGGCTCCTAAAGACAGCCTAGGGTACCTTAGGGGGGCCCCTGCGCCTCAGCGGGGGCCCCCAAAAAGGGCCCCCTTCGGGGCGGGCATGGGGGCCCCCTTGGATACCCATGTGGGCCCCAGGGGGGCCCCTCGAGGGGCCCCCAAGCAGGCCGCTGTGTTCAGTCGTGTGCATTTGCGCTGTTGCTGCTGCTGCTGCTGCTGCTGCTGCTGCTGCTGCTGCTGCTGCTGCTGGGCTTCAGGCACTGAGGGCCGCGCTGAGAGTGGGGGAAGGAGATAAACTATATTACGCGGTAAGGCAGCAGCAAAAAGTCTCTTAAAATAAAGGGGGCTGAAGCTAGGACGCTGCTGCTGCTGCTGCTGCTGCTGCTGCTGCTGCTGCTTCAGCCACAGCTGTTGCAGCAGACGCTTTACACAGTCTCTGTGGGCGCCGCTCTGCGCTGCAGGCATTCAACGCCTACTACAGGTGAGGGGCCCCCTTTAGGGGCCCCTGGGGGCCCCTCAGGACCCTTGGGGGCCCCCTGGAGCCCCTGGGGGCCCCTCAAGACCCTTGGGGGCCCTTGGGGCCCCCCGGCGGCCTTTGCGGGCCCCTGTGGATCCCTGAAGGCGCTTGAGGGCCCCCTGGGGCCCTCAAGGGCCTCTCACGGGCCCCAGGGGGCCCCTCAGAGGGGCCCCCTGGGGCCCCTGAGAGGGGCCCCCTGGGGCCCCTGAGAGGGGCCCCTAGTACTAAAAGCTGCAGAGATATGAGTAGATGGAACTGGAGACAGAAAAAGCAGCAGCAAAAAGGAAAAAGAAAGAGGAAAGAAAAAAAGAAAAATAAAGAAACTGGAGAGTGATGAAAGAAGGGAACGAGAGGCAGCAAAGAGCGACAGCAGCAGCAAATTAAAGCGTTGCTGCTGCTGCTGCTGCTGCTGCTGCTCCAGTCTATGCTGGCATGTGTGCCAAGCTCTAGAAGCTCCGAAGCCCTACTCCAAACCCTACACCCAATTGCAAACCCTAAACCCCAGCCCAAACCCTAAACCCTAGCTCAAACCCTGAACCCTCATTTCCTGCAAGGCTTATGCTGCCGTGGTCTACCAGCCGCAGCCACCTGGCCAGAGGCCTCGAGAGCTGCTCTAAACCCTAAACCCTAAACCCTAAACCCTCGGCTGTACATACACTTCGGAGCTCGGCTGTTGAGCTATGCGTACACCTCGAATGCCTGGGCAAGCCTGCAGGGTTTATTTTCAACAAAAAGTTATTTAAAATATAAAATAAAAAATATACTTGTGGATATTTGTTTCCTTCAAGAACATAACCACTAGCTAGGGGCCCCCCACTGCAGATGAGGGGCCCCCAACTTCCAGGGTCACTGGGGGGCCCCCCGGGGGCCCTGGGGGGCCCCCGGGGGCCCCATGAGCCTCGAGAGAAAACCCTGAGGAGAGTTTGATTTAAGAAGTTTGTTACTTTTCTTTCAAAAAGCCAGCAGCATTTCAAGTGACACCCTCTTTCCTAGGGTTTAGGGTTTAGGGTTTAGGGTTTAGGGTTTAGGGTTTAGAGAGCACATTAAGGTTTGCTGTGAGGCGGCAGCGACCCGTAGGCCTCGACAGCGTCGGGCCTGCGGGAAATTAGGGTTTAGGGTTTGGAGTGGGGTTTAGGGTTTGGAAGAGGGTGTAGGGCCTCAAAAAGGGTTTAGGGTTTAGATCTTCAGTGTTTAAGGATCAGGGTTTGGGGCCTCGGAGCCTCAGGCTCCAGGGTTTAGAATTTAGGGTTTAGGGTTTAGGGTTTAGGGGGGCCCCACTCTGGGCCCTAAGACTGACACCAGAGGGGCCCCGCAATGCTCGCTGGGGCGCTAAAGCCAGCAGGCCTGCAGCAGCAGCAGCAGCAGCAGCAGCAGCATCGAGTGCAGCAGCAGCAGCAGCAGCAGCGAGTGCAGCAGCAGCAGCACCTCCCGCGAGCGAAGCTGCTGCTGCCTCTGCTGCTGCTCCTCTTCAGCCTGTGGGGCCCCCCCTGGGTTCTGACCCAAGGGGGGCCCCTGGAGGGGCCCCCTCAGGGGCCCCTCCAGGGGCCCCCTTTGCTGGCAGCAGCTTCACTGCTGCAGCAACGCGGTGCCCACTATTTGCTGCTCCGCGGCGTCTACAGCAGCAGCAGCAGCAGCAGCTGCAGCAGCAGCAGCAGCTGCTGCTGCGGCAGCCTGCAGCGCCGTCGCACTGCCCTAGACTGCCCCGCGGGCTTCATAACAAATCTGGGGCCTCTAGTGACTGAGGGGGGCCCCCAAGGGGGGCCCCCTTACCCCCAAGGGGGGCCCCCTTACCCCCAAGGGGGGCCCCCTTACCCCCAAGGGGGGCCCCCTTGCCCCGAAAGGGGGGCCCCCTGCCCGTTGGGGGCCCCCCAGACCCTCCCGGGGGCCCCTCCTGCGCTGTGGGGCCGGCGGCGGGGGCCCCCCGAGCAGCAGGGGGGCCCCCGGGGCCCCCAGGGGGGCCCCCAGGGGGGCCCCCAGGGGGGCCCCCAGGGTACCCTGGGGGCCCCCTGGGACCGCGCAGCATTTGTTAAGGGCCTTCGCCCCAAACTGCAGGCTTGTGTAGAAGCCCTGCAGCAGCACTTCCTCGCCATTGGCAGTCTACAGCTAACGTAAGCAGCAGCAGCAGCAGCAGCAGCAGCAGCAGCAGCAGCAGCAGCAGCAGCAGCAGCAGCAGCAGCAGCGGTTGTAGCAGTCGGGTGGGGGGAGACGAAGCAGGAATAGTAGTAGCATTAGCAGCAGCAGAAGCTGCAGCAGAAACGAGTGGAGCAGCAGCAGCAGCGGGAGCAGCACTGGAAGCAGTAGCAGCAGCAACATGAAAAGTGTCAGCAACTGCAGCAGCAGCAGCAGCAGCAGCAGCAACAGCAGCAACTTTGCGACTGCTGCCTTGCAGGCCCGCCACGCTGGCCCAGGTGAAGGTCACTGTGGAAGCCCCTGAGGGGCCACCAGCACAGCAGCAGCAGCAGCAGCAGCAGAAGCAGCAGCAGAAGCGGCAGCAGCAGAAGCAGCGTCAGCAGCAGAAGCAGCAGAAGCAGCAGCAGCAGCAGCAACCTTTGCATGCAGTCGCCAGCATACACATACTGGGAGCTTCCGAGCTGCTGGTGAGGCCTCACGAAGCAGCAGCTGCTGCTGCAGTTGAGGCAGCTCTAAGAAATGCCCCGGGTGGCTTTAGTGTCTGCCTGCAGCAGCAGCAGCAGCAGCAGCAGCAGCAGGAGCGTGACTCCACTGGGAAGCCAATTCCGTACGTGCCCTTCGCCAGGCGGGGCTGCTGCTGCTGCCGTAGCTCTTGCTGCTGCTGCTGCTGCTGCTGCTGCTGCTGCTGCTTGTGCTGTCCTGGTTGCTGCGGTTGTCTTGAAGCCATGCAGTGCTGTCGTTTCTGCTGCTGCTGCTGCTGCTGCTGCCACTGCTGCTGCTTTTGTTGCTGTTTTGTGCGCAGGGAGTTTATTGTCCGTCGGCCCAGCGTCACGCGAGAATGGCGGTGAGCGCTGCTGGTGCTGCTGCTGCAGCAGCAGCTGCTGCTGCTGCTGCTGTTGCTGCTGTTGCTGCTGCTGTTTCTGCCGTTGTTTCTGCTGCTGTTTCTGCTGCTGTTTCTGCTGTGGTTACCGCTGCTCTTTTTGCTTTTGTTTCTGGTGCTGTTGCTGTTGCTGCTGGCGTTGCTGTTGCTGTTGCTGCTGTGTTTGCTGCTGCTGCTGCTGTTCCTGCTGCTGCTGCTGTTCCTGCTGCTGCTGTTGCCTCCCTCTACATTGTTTGCTGCTGCTGGTCTGCCCGGCCTGCGCAGCCCCAGAGCAGCTCGGCCTATTCCTTTTCTTATCTCTTTTTATTTATTTACTTATTTATTTATTTATTTATTTATTTATTTATTTATTTATTTATTTATTTATTTATTTATTTATTTTATATTCTTTGTTTGCTTATTTGTTTTTTATTTTTAATTCTTTCTTGTTCTTCTTTTATCTCTCTCACTCTCTGTCTTTTCTTTTATCGCTCCGCCTCTCTTTGCTTCATTCGTCCTCTTTTTTTCTTTTTTATTTTCTTTTTTCTTTTTATTTCCTTTATGAGCTTTAAGTCTCTTTATTTTGTCTCCTTTTTATTTATTTATTTCTTTTTTCTTTTTCTTTTCTCTATTTATTTTTTCTCTTTTCTGCTTTTTGTTTTGCTGCCTCTGGACCTTTTGCTGCTGCTAGACAAGCTGAGGTCCGGCGGGCCAAAGAAGCAGCAGAAGCAACAAAAGTCTCTCTAAGGTAGGCCGCTCTTCAGCAGCAGCAGCAGCAGCAGCAGCAGCAGTAGCAGCAGCAGCAGCAGCAGCAACGGTAGCAGCCTTTCTGTGTCTCACGCCAGTACCGCTTCTCTTCTAGTTGCAAGTAAGCACTTGGAAGTAATACGAGGGCCGCAGTGGAGCAGCAGCACCAGCAGCAGCAGCAGCAGCAGCAGTGCAGCAGCAGCAGCAACAGGTTGCGGTGCTGCTGCTTCAGGGCTGTGAGGCGGGAGGCCCTGCAGCGCGTGCGCGAAAAGCTGAACAGCAAACGCATTGGAGAGGATGAGGCCCATGCAACAGAGGTGGGGCTTTGAAACTCTGCTGCTGCTGCTGCTGCTGTTGCTGCTGCTGCTGCTGCTGCTGCTGCTTCCTACTAGTGTATTTAGTGTTGAGGCCATGTGTCCCCTCCGTAGCCGCCCAAAATCCTGCGTACAACTAAAGCTCCACTGCCTCTGCTGCTGCTGCTGCTGCTGTTTTTACTCTCACTGCTGTTGCTGCGCTGCTGCTGCGCTGCTGCTGCTGCGCTGCTGCTGCTGCTGCGCTGCTGCTGCTGCAGGCTGCAGTGGATCGCGAAGTAGAAACTTTTGTCTCTGCTGTCAGCGACTGTCTGCGGCAGAAGCAAAAGGCCCTCCTCTCGTTTGCCTAGAGCTTCATGGGCCCATAATTTCCCGAACTTGACTCTAAACCCTAAACCCTAAACCCTAAACCCTAGAAAACTCCAAAAACCCTTAGTGAGCCCGATGAAGTTAACTTAAAGAGCTCACCACCCTTTAAAGAGTTCTAAAGATTCTTAAAGGATCTAGAGGGACCCAAAAGGACATTTAAAGGACTCAAAAGGCCTCAAAGAACTTCAAAGATTTTAAAAGAATCTTTGGAAACACAAATGAGTTTTAGAGGATTTTAAGGGGCAGCAAAAGGTTTTAAATGATCTTGGAAAGACTTAAGGGCCCCAAGAGTGTTAACTAATTCTAAATGGACCTTAAAAAGCTTTAGTGGACCTTAATGGACCTTAAAGGGTTTTAGTGGACCTCAGTGGACCTTAATGGACCTTAGTGGACCTTAAAGAACTCTAAAAAGGACTTTAATGGACCTTAAATGGTTTTAGTGGACCTTAATGGACCTTAGTGGACCTTAATGGACCTTAAAGGACTTTAAAAAGGACCTTAATGGACCTTAAAGGGTTTTAATGGACCTTAATGGACCCTAATGGACCTTAGTGGACCTTAAAAGACCTGGAATGACTTCAAAACACCTTAAAAGGGACCTTAAAATTGGCCTTAATGGACCTTAATGGACCTCAGCGGACCTTAAAGAGGACCTTAATGGACCTCAGTGGACCTCAGTGGACCTTAAAGGACCTTAAAGGACCTTAAAAAGAACCTTAAAGAAATTTAAAGGACTTTACAGGACCTTAAAGGACTTTAAAGGACCTTAAAGGACCTTAAAGGACTTTAAAGGACCTTAGAAGACTTTAAAGGACCTTAAAGGACTTTAAAGGAACTTAAAGGACTTTAAAGGACTTCAGAAAGCCTTAAAGAAGTTCAAAAGACCTTAAATGACTTCAAAGGACTTCAAAGAATTTTAAAGAAATATTTTAAGAGACCTCAGAGGGCCTCTAGGGGCTTTAAGAGGCGCTGCAAAGCCGAAGAAAACTTCGAGAAAGTTTTGAGACTTTGAAGAAAGTTGGAAAGACTTTTGAAGGACCAAATGGATTTAAAGGCCCCTAAAGGACCTAATAAACCTCAAAGACAGTCAAAAGGTTTCAAAAAGACTTCAAAAATATTTAAAAAGATTTAAAAAAATTCACAAAAGTCTTTAAAACCTTTAAAAGACTTAAAGAGTCTCAAAAGGACTTTACCAAGTGCAACTTAAAGAGGCTTAAAGGCCATTAGGAAATGAAAAAGACCCAAAAGACCTTTAAGAGACATAAAATGAAATTTAAAAACTTTGGAAGAGTTTACAAAAGTTTTTAAGACTTTTGAAGACTTTCGAAGAATTCAGAAGAGTTTAGAAGACTTTAAAAGACTTTAAAAGGCTTTAGAAGGTCTTAGAGAACTTCAAACGACTTTGAAGGACTTCAGAAGACTTTAGAAGGCTTTAAAAGACTTTAAAAGACTTCGAAAGATTTCAAGATTTCTTAAAAGTCTTTTTAAGTCTCTTTAAAAATTTTAAAGAGACTTTAAAAGACTTTTAAGGACTTTAGAAACATTTAGAAAACTTTGAAAGATATTAGAAGACTTCAAAAGGTTTCAAAAGACATCAAAAGACTTTAAAGGACTTCACGAGTCTTCAGAACATCTCAGAGAACTTTAAAGGACTTTAAAAGATTTTGAAAGATTTAAAAAAGTTAAAAAGACTTAAAAGACTTCAAAAAACTTAAAAAGGCTTTAAAGGAGTTTAAAGGACTCTTAAAGATTTCCAGAAACTTTTTAGTAATCAAAAGAATCTTTAAAAGATCCTTAAAGACCTCAAAAGATTTTTAAAGACTTTTAATGAAGATAAAGGATTTTAAAATATCATAAATAATTTTTAAATATCTTTCAAAACCTTAAAAGACTTTTAATGATCTTAAATGATTTTAAATTGTTTTAAAAGATCTTCAAACACCCTAGGAGGACCTTGAAAGACTTTAAATGATCTTAAATGATCTTAAATGATTTTAGATGATCTTAAATGATTTTAAATGATTTTAGATGATTTTAAATGATTTTAAATAATCTTTAAATACTTCAATAAACCTTAAAGGAGCTTAAAGGGCCTAAAAAGGATCTTGAAGAGGACTAAATGGGTCTTTTAAAAGCTCCAAAAGAGTCTTAAAAGATCTAAAAGAATCTTAAAAAACTCCACAAAACCTCTAAAGAGCTGAAGGAAACTAAAGACTGCGCCAGGCGCCAACAGCAGTCTGCATGCGGCTTTAAAAGGGCCACACAAAGCCAGGGGGGCCCTTGGGGGGCCCCACAAGAGGCCCTTGGGGGGCCCCACAGGAGGCCCTTGGGGGGCCCCACAGGAGGCCCTTGGGGGGCCCCACAGGAGGCCCTTGGGGGGCCCCACAAGAGGCCCTTGGGGGCCCCCACAAGAGGTCCTTGGTGGGCCCCACAAGAGGGCCCCACAAGGGGCCCTTGGGGGGCCCCACACAAGGCCACAGGAAGGCCCTTAGAGGGCCCCACAGAGGAGCACCTACAGGGGCCCCCACACGGGGCCCCACAGGAGGCCCCTTAGGGGGCCCCCCACGGGGCCCCCCTATAGGGGACTTCCTCCTGATGGGGCCCCCTGGGGGGCCCCCTGTAGGACCCCCTGTGGGGCCCCTTGTGAGGGGCCCCGTGGGGCCCCTTGGGTCCAAGGGGCTTCAGAAGCCCCGAGCTGCTAGGGTCACCTGCAGTACGCGGTGCCTTGCAGCAGCAGCTGCAGCAACAAGTGCAGCAGCAGCAGCAGCAGCAGCAGCTGGCGGAGCCGCTGCTGCTGAACTGGCAGCAGCGCCGCCTGCGGCGCTCGCTGCAGCTGCTGCCGTGGCTGCTGCACCTGCAGCAGCAGCAACGGCGGCCTGCAGCGCCTTTGCTTCCTGCGACAGCAGCGGCTGCTTAACTGCAGCAGCAGCAGCACCAACTGCCAGCTGCAGCAGCGGAGTCACTCCCCTGAAGACCCAGAAGTTAGCAGCAACATCATACCTCTCAAACTCGACTCCCTCGATGCACGCGCAGGCAAACCGTTGCTGCTGCTGCTGCTGCTGCTGCTGCTGCTGCTGCTGCTGCTGCTGCTGCTGCAGCGCAGCACGGGCAGGCTCCAGGAACCGGGGCACTTGGGAAGCGCTGCTGCTGCTGCCCTCAGGGGGGCCCCCACTCCGCAGCTGCACGCAGCAAATCTGGAGGCCCCCAGTCATTAAGTAGAGGGCCCCCTCAGCCTCTGGGGGGCCCCCCTGCGGGGCCCCGCGGGGCCCCTGCTGCTGCCCCTGCGAAGCAGAACGCAACACAAGCGCACCCCACATGCTGCTGCTGCTGCTGCTGCTGCTGCTGCTGAGTGGCCTGCGGGGGCTGACTGGGGCAGCAGCAGACTGCAGCAAAACTCACCTGGACCCCGCAGCTTAGCTGCAGGTGCAGCAGCAAACCAACAAGGTCATAGGGGAGGCCCCCTGCGAGGCCTAGGGCCCCGGGGGCCCCCCTGGGCAGCTGCTCAAGGGGCCCCCCAGGCACTTCGAGGCCCCAGAGGGGGGCATTCCATGCTGCACTGCTGCCGTCCTTTGCTGCTGCTGCTGCTGCTGCTGCTGCTGCTGCTGCTGCTGTGCTGCCCACGCGGCCCTCCAAGCAGTGGGGCCCGAACCCGCAGCAGCTAAGATGAGCCCCAGAGAGCGCCGGCAGACGCAGCAGCAAAGGCAGGGCCTGCGGGGGCACTAACTGCTGCTGCTGCCTTTGAATTGCTGAATTTGCAAAAAGGAAAGAGATAGAACCAAAGAGGGGAAACACAGCGCTGCGAGCAAGGGGACCAGCAAGCAAGTGGCAGCAGCAGCGAAGCAGCAGCAGCAGCAGGCAGCAGCAGCAGGAAACAGCAGCAGCAGGGAGGCCGAAGCAGCAAGAATGCAGCAGCAAGGCAGCAGCAGCAGCAGCAAGACTCACCGAACAGTGGAATACAGACGGGGGAGGCTGACGTACTGTCCTGCTGCTGCTCTGTGTCTGCGTCTGCTCTCGAGCTCGAGGAGGGTCCTTGCTGTTGCTGCTGCTGCTGCTGCGTTGCCCGCACTGCCTGCAGCAGCAGCAGCAGCGCCTGCTGCGCCCCTCTGCTGCTGCTGCTGCTGCTGCTGCTGCGGGGGGGCCCCCACTCGAAGGCCCACCAGCCGCAGACGCCGGCCTTCCCTAACTACTTCTTGGGTTTCTTCTGTCCAAGGCAAATGCACAAGTGCGAGGGACAATCTGAGTTGCTGCAGGAAGGGCCTCTGCTGCTGCTGCTGCAGCAGCAGCAGCTGCTGCTGCTGCGGGTCCCCCACCCACGGGCAGAATGTGGGGTCCTCGGGAGGCCCCTCGTCCCTCAGTGGGGCCCCACACCCATTGGGCTGCCTATTCTCGTCAGGCCCAAGGCTGCCTTTGCATTCTGCTGCTGCTGCTGCTGCTGCTGCTTGCTGCAGCAGCAAGGCGTCCACTACCAGCAGCCGCGTCTGCTGCGTGACCTGCTGCTGCACTGCAGCAAGCTCGGCAGCAAGTTTCTCTAGCAGCCTCTCGCGCTGCCTTTCCAGTTCCCTTGTGGCTTCCAACGGGTCGTCCTCGTCATCGTCTTCCTGCTGCTGCTGCTGCTGCTGCTGCTGCTGCTTCTGCTGCAGTCTGCGCTCTGCTGCTGCGGCGCTTTCCTCCCGGCAGCGCTGCAGCTGCTCGGCAAGGGCCTCGAGCGGGCCTTGGTGAGCAGCAAGCAGCAGCTGCTCCTGAGCTTGCTTCCACCTGTCCCCCTCGTGCAGCGACAGCAGCACAGGCCGCTGCTGCTGCTGCTGCTGCTGCTGCTGCTGCTGCTGCTGGAGGCGGCAGTGCGGCGGCAGCACCCGCAGCACCACCACCTCCACCAGAGGCAGGGGGCCCCCCACTGGCTTGAGGGCCCTGAGGGGCAGCGGGAAGTACCTGGGGATTGGCAGCAGCCCGAGGCCCTTGGGCAGTCTGGGGGAGCAGCAGCAGCAGCAGCAACTCGACAGCAGCAGGAAGCCTCGCTCGGGGGCCTCCAGGGGGCAGTAGCCCTCGCCGGCGCCTCCCATCTGGGCCCCCTGCAGCAGCAGCCGCAGCATGCGCATGGGCGGGGGGCCCCAGTCCTCCTGCTGCAGCAGCAGCAGCTCCTGCTGCTGCTGCTGCTGCTGCTGCGGACCCCTCACGCCTGCGCCTCTGCTGCTCCCCAGAGACCGACACAAAGCAGCAGCTAAGAAGCAGTCTTGAACTTTTCCAACAATCCAGTAAAAGCCATCAGTAAGAGCCACCTCAGCCACGCCCACCACCTCCTGGGGGCCCCCCGGGGGGCCCCCCGGGGGGCCCCCCAGGGGGCCCCCCCAGGGGGGGGGCCCCCCGGGGGGCCCCCTCTCGGGGGCCCCCGGAACAGACCCTTTTAGGGGCCCCCGCCAGCCAAGAACGCCGAGAGCAAGAGGAAGTGCTGCTGCAGCATCTCCTTCACAAATGCGGCGGAGACAGGAGCGCCAGCCTTCTGCTTCTTTTGCTGCTCGCAGCAGCAGCTGCTGCAGCAGCAGCAGCGGACTCGGGGGCGGGGGCGGGGGCCCCCGCAAAGACTGCAGCAAATATTGCTGCCGCCAACGGAGACACAAGAAGAAGGCGAGGAGGCGGTAGTGGTGGCAAAACCAGCGCCAGTCGAAGCGCGAGAGGCTCGCGCTGCTGCTGCTGCTGCTGCTGCTGCTGCTGCTGCTGCTGCTGCTGCTGCTGGTGGCGGTTGTTGCTGCTGGAGCAGTTCTGTGGCTTTTGAGGGCCCCCACAGGCAGCCTGTGGCGCTGCAGCAGCACTTGCTGCTGCTGCTGCTGCTGCTGCTGCTGCAGCTCGTGCTGCTCCCGCAAGGCGCAGCAAAACATTTGGTACAGCTGCGGGGGGCCCCCCAGCAGCAGCTGCCCGCGGGGCCCCGGCCAGCAAAAGACAAATGCTGCTGCTGCTCCGAAGCAGCAGCGGGAAGGGTCGCTGGAGGGGCCCCCGCCTGCCACGGCTGCTGTCCAGCCTCCGCGGTGCAGCACCTCGCTTCTCGCTGCAGCAGCAGCAGCAGCAGCAGCAGCAGCAGCAGCAGCAGCAGCAGGCAGGTGGGTCAGCGGGTAGCTGTAGCGGCACCAGAGCTCTAGCAGCCGACGGCGGCTCACAAGACACCGAGGCTTGCTGCTTGCTGCTGCAGCAGACGCAGACGGCTGCACTGCTGCTGCTGGTGCTGCTGCTGCTGCTGCTGACAGTGCGAAGCCTGCAGCAGCACCTCCCGTTGCCGTTTCTGGCGCTGCTGCTGTTGCTGCTGCTGTTGCTGCTGCTGCTGCTGCTGGGGCAATTCTCTTAGGGGGCTTAAAGCCACCCCTAGTTGGAACCCGCTGCCGCTTTTGCTGCGGCAGCAGCCCGCCGGCTATGGCGGGCCTGCGCAGGCCTAGGGACCCCCGGTGCAGCGAGGGAGTGCCTGCTGCTGCTGCTGCTGCTGCTGCTGCTGCTGCTGCTGCTGCTGCTGCTGCTGTTGCTGGCTCGCTCACTACGGTGGACGCCGAAGGGACTGGGGACGAAGCCGGCACTGATAAAAGCGCTGCCTCCCCGTTTCCTGCTGCTGCTGCTGCTGCTGCTGACTTTGCTTCTTGGCTGCCGGTGCTGCTGCTGCTGCAGCTAGTCCTGTTGCTGCTGCTATCTGCGTCTGTGTCTTGCTGCTGCAGCAAACTGCGGGCCTTCGCTAGAGCCTGCGGGTTGATTTGCACCTGTCGCCCAGATGCAAAGGAAAAGCCCGCAGCAGCAGAAGCTGCTGCTGCTGCTGCTGCTGCTGCTGCTTCTCCTTGGTTGTTGTCGCTGCTGCTGCTGCTGCTGTTGCTATCTGTGTCTTGCTGCTGCAGCAAACTGCGGGCCTTTGCTAGAGCCTGCGGGCTGATTTGCACCTGTCGGCCAGATGCAAAGGAAAAACCCGCAGCAGCAGAAGCTGCTGCTGCTGCTGCTGCTGCTGCTGCTGCTGCT